AACTTCTGGAACCATAAACCCAAATGATCCCTTCCTTCTTTCTGCAAGTTGCCTCAGTCAAGACATTTTATCACAGTAATAAAAAAAAAAAAAATAACTGTTACGATGTGGGATGTTGAAGGTTAGATGAACTTGCTACCAACACCATAAATGATAATGAAGATTTGAATACTCTTACTGATGCTCATGGTAATTTTCTCAATGAAATGAAGGGCTCTTTGCCTGCAACTTTTTGATGTCTTCTGTCTAGAGAAAAAGACGATATAACACCGTCACAAGAGCTCTGTCTCTGACACGAAAAGATTTTCTCCTGAGGCTGTAAGCTTCTTGCAAGCTGTATTTCTCTAATACTTTCCTATTGGTGTGATAAAACACCTTGACCATGGTAATTTAAGAAGACATTGTTTCTTTTGGGCTTATAATTTCAGAGGGTTAGGATCTATAATGGTGGGGACAGCAGGAGACAGATGTGGCATTTGGGAGCTGGAAGCTGAGAGCTCACATGTGAAGTGCAAGCAGGAAAACAGAGAGAGATAACTGGGAATGGTTATGTGCCCACTGGGGTAGTTGGAATGTAATTGACCCCCATAAGTTCATAGGGAATGGGACTATTAGGAGGTGTGGCTTTCTTGGAGTAAGTATATATAGCCTTGCTGGAGGAAGTGTGTCACTGTGGGGGTGGGCTTTGGGGTCTCATATATGCTGGAGCCATGCACAGTATTTCAGACCTCTTCCTCTTGCCTTCAGGATCAAGGTGTAGCTACTTCTCACTCTCAGCTCCTTCTCCAGCACGTCTGCCTACACACCATCACGTTGTACCACGATAATGGACTAAACCTCTGAAAAGGTAAGTCACCCCAATTAAATATTTTCCTTTACAAGCGTTGCATGGTCACAGTGCCTCTTCACAGCAATTGAACCCTAATTAAGACAGCCTACCTCCTAAGCTTCCCCTCAAAGCTCCACCAACTAGGACTAAACTAAATATTCAAATGACTGAGACTTATGGGGGTATCTCATTCAAACCTCTGAAGACCTGAGTTCAAATCCCCTGATCCCATGGTGGAGAGAACCAGACTCCTAAAAATTGTCTTTTGACCTCCATGTATGTACCTATCTACATAATAACAACAATAATAATAAGCAGCAGTCAGGCATGGTGGCACATGCTATTAGTCCCAGCACTAGGGAGGCAGAGGCAGGAGGATCTATGTGAGTTCCAGGACAGCCAGGGCTACACAGAGAAACCCTGTCTCAAAAAATAAAACATGTATTAAGACCTCATAATCCCAATTCTGTTTGCAGAGAACAGGAGCCAGAGGTGCTGGAACCGTTCTGGGATATCTGGGCTGGTGTGGTGGGAGGCTTGTTAATGCCTGTCCATAACCCCAGTGCTGAGTCTGGTCACCCAGAATGAGGCTCAAATGTACAGATATTGTGTATCTCGTATGATTTTACTCCTACATACACTTTGGGATGTGATTGAAGCACAAGTATTACAGTAATTTCCATTTTGGATTGTTCATTGGTGTCTTAGACGCTATTCTATTACTGTGAAGATACACTATAGCCAAGGCAACTAACTATGAGACTGAATCTAATTGAGTTTTTGATGGGGGATGTCCTCCTACATATATGCTTCTCTTATTGGTTGATGAATAAAGGTTTGGTCAATAGCCAGGCAGAAAGCATAGGTGGGGAGAGAAGACCATGTGGCCGAGGAAGGAGTAACAGATCTGGACCTCTCTCTAGTAAGATAAGACCACATGGAAATACATAGATGAATAGAAATGGGTTAATAATTAAGACAGAGCCAGCCTCAAATGTATTGTGTATTATGAATTGAACTCAGGCCCTCTGCTGACTTTTTAAAATCCTAAAAGCAGGACTAGAGAGATGGCTCAGCAGGGGACCTGAGTTCAAATCACAATACACAATACATTTGAGGCTAGCCTGAGCTAAATGAGATACTATCTCAAAAAACCAAAAATATCTCCTAAAATGAAGACTCTTTCAGGGCTTTATATTCCAATACTTAAAAGTTTGTAGTTCTGGTGTATAATTCTACATTTCATCTTTTTTTTAAAATAAAAATTGTATTTACTTAGCATTTAGAATGTCAAAAAAGTAGCAATCTTTTTTTTTTTTTGCAATTACAGAGTGATATTGAGTTAACAGAACAATTACCTTCTTATAAACTGCATCAGAGACAACTGAAGACAAAAAAAACAAAAAAACACACACAAAAAAAGTACTGTCCCCCCTATATAACTAATTTGTGCTGTGCACCAATAAGAACCTGCTTTAAATTCCCATGCCAATTTACAACCACAGACTGTAACAGGCAAGGTTAGTGGCTACTGAAAATATCACCAGGACAGGGCTATCTAAAGACACATTGGGTAGCGTGTTAACTATACAAAAAAAGATACGGTATAGTTTAAAAACAAATCTTACACAGCCTTACATTTCATTTTTTTTTTCTTTAAAAGGAGTGAGGTATACAGGGGGCGTAAATGCTTTATAGAAAAAAAAAAACAACTCAAAAAACTGCACTAGAACCAACTTATTCTTCATCATTGTCTTCCTCTTCATCCTCATCTTCATCGTCTTCCTCTTCCTTTTCTTGCTCTTTTCTGCCTTGACCACCCCCTTTTTTCGATGCATCGGGTTTCCCTTTAGCTCTGTATGCAGCAATATCCTTTCCAGGCTTGGCAGCCTTCTTTTCCTAGGGCTGCTTGTCAATCTGCAGCAGTATTCCATATCTTTCCCAGTTTCTTTGCAACATCACCAATGGACAAGCCAGGGTGTTCTTTGATTTTTGGGGGATACTCAGACTAGAACAAGAAGGCGGCAGAAGGAGGCCTCTTGGGTGCATTAGGGTCCTTGAACTTTTTGGTCTCCCCTTTGGGGGTGATGTAGGTTTTCATTTTTCTCTTTCATAACGAACCTTGTCAGCCTTTACCATCCATGTCTTCCATTTCCCCTTTCCTTTAGCAGACACGATCTTCCACCTTTCTGAGCACTTCTTGGACAACTCTGAGAAGTTGACAGAAGCATCCGAGTGCTACTTCTTGTATTCCTCCCAGCAAGTTTGCAAAGAATGCATATGAGGACATTTTGCCTCTTGGCTTCTTAGGACCTCCTTTGCCCATTTTAGTTGATTTCCATCTGCAAGGCACAGAGTAGCCCAGTGCCTGTCCGGCTTGCACTTGCTCTAGTGCTGTCTTGTCTCTATGGAGCTCAATGTACTGCAATGGCTGTGAGAGCGGGAGCCAGACGCCGCCGCCCCTCCCCCCCATTTTAAGACAGAGTTCCTGTGTTTTGCCTTAGCTATCCCTGGAACTTGCTCTGTAGACTAGGTTAACCTTGAACTCAGAGATCTGTCTGTGCCTCCCTGCCTCCTGAGTGCTGGGATCAAAGATATATGTCACTATGCCTGACTTTCAGAAGATTTTCAAATTATTTATGGATTTTATTTTTCTTTTGCTGACTGGGGTCTTGCTATGTAGCCTAGACAGGTCTTCAACTCACAATCCTCCAGCATTACCCTCCTGAGTGCTAGGATTACAGGGGTGTGCCATTACCCCTGCTAAGTATTTCTCTATTACACTGTCCCATGAACAACACTTGCACAAACTACTTAACTATTATGTAAAAACCTACAACTGGGGAGTGAATTGAATGGCAACTCTGGCTGACCAACCCTGCCTTAGAGCCTAGGTTTCAGCATGCACTGCCTTACGGTGTGCTGTGCTGCCTCATGGCTGAGTAAGACAAACTGCCAACACTCACTCCCTCCAATACCTCTGTGTAGCCCATGCTGGATGGTCTACTCTGTTCCAAGTGTGGAAAGCACTGGAAAGAACAGAATTGGAAACACTACTCTTTGAAATGGGTATGACAACTATCTCTGAAACTAATCTTGAACTTACTCTTTAGCCTTGAACTTGCTTATGAAGCTATTCTCACTGGGGCCAAAATCCTTTTGACAAACATGCTATAAAAAAATCTGGGCCAAAGACTTGGCTGCAGTGATCATGAAACACATAGCCATACACTTAATCCTTGAGGAGAATAAAGTATTGTGTGTGGCAGACCACTTCCAATCCCACTAGAAAACCCAGTCATCTCTACTTGCAGAGTCTCATGAACTCAGTGACTTCTCAGTGATACACAGTCCTGGCTTTCCAACTATACTGGACAGGAAAAACTGTTCATCAGGCCACAGTGCATATGAAATGTAATACTAGTTGGTGAGTCATGCAACTACAGAACTAAAGGGAAATTGCAGCCTATGCTGTTTTGAGCTTTTCATCACGGCAACTGAGATCTGCTGCTGAACATTCTGATCAGGCAAATGGATGGATGGATGAGGGATAAGCCCATGGATAAGTCCCAGCTTGAGCACTATCTTCAAGGATAACAAGAGGTAGCACCAGAAAGACATGCTGTTATCCTTTTGTAAGCTCTGATATAAGACACACTACCCAAGAATGTGCATACTTAGGGTTATAAAAAAATAACTGTAGGCACAATACATCCAGTTAAAAGTTATTTATTCAAAAATATTTCCTACCAATTCTTTTTTTGGGGGGTGGGTTTCCCCCCCTCAGGGTTTCTCCATGTAACCCTGGCTGTCCTGGAACTCACTCTGTAGAGTAGACTGGCGTTGAACTCAGAGATTTACTTGCCTCTGCCTCCCAAGTGCTGGGATTAAAGGCATGTGCCACTAGGCCCAGCCTTTCCTACTAATTCTGATTCTAAATCACAAAGGACAGGGAGTGAGATTAAACAGAATTAACTGCTCAGATCCCTGTACAGAATGCAATTCCCTCATTAGCTCATTATCTACTGAGAGTGACAAATTCAAGTAATTTACTTCACAAGAATAATAATAGGTATACAGTACTCCATACCAAAATATTTTAAAAGCTTATATTCATATTTCACTTAAAATTTAGCTAATATAAAATGGTACTGGCTTTAAAGAACATCCAAGCAATGAATTAATTTCTTTTCTTACAAAGCTGAAGGACATAACTGTCTAAAATTTATTTATTGCCCACAAAGTAGTTAAGAACCACTTGAGGGTTAGGGTGTAGTTAGTTGTAGAGTGCTTGCCTAGCAGGAGCAAGGTCCTGCCTGAACGCTGCTCCTAGAACTGAGAAGGGAAAATCAGGACCACCTGAGGTTGTGATGCATTTGCACTTTTCATTTCCAGTGGCTAAAATATGCAGAAGATGTAGCAGAAGGACAGAGATTTCTGGCTGTAATACACATTTCCTACAGGTTCTCAACCTCAAACTATCCCTGGCTTTTGGAGACCGGGTGTGGTACCAGATACTTTAAATCCCAGTAATTAGGAAACTGAGGTAGGTAGAACTCTGAGTTCTTGGCCAGGCAGGGCTACCTAAGAAGAACATGTCTCAAAAAAGAAACAAAAGGCTTTGGGAAGCATGTACACTCAAAGGAAACCCTTTAGTATTCTCAGAGTTACACCCACCCGGAGAAACAGTCTCTCTCATTTTACTTTGAGCTTTGGGCTTTAGAAAATCATGCAGGCCACCATGCCAGGCAGGCGTGCAGCTGCTGTGCTGGCCCCAACTCTGGTCCTCCTGATGGGTTAAGAAGTCAGTCTTTTCTCAACAGTCTCCTGGTAAGCAACAAACCGTCTTAAATTCATCTTCACGTTGTCAAGAACACACAGCTGATCTGGACTGTATTTGCCCCTCCCCTCTTTCCGTATCTGGTAAAAGACAGAATGAGATTAAGTCATTTGATTGGTTATCATTTAAATAAGGTAACTATTTTATTAACAAACAGTTTTACTTCCAGATTAAATAGAATATGGATTGTGAAGAGAAAAATAAAAATCTGTCCATTTTTTTCTTTTTCCACATTCACTAAGGCAGGATCCCTCAATCAAACCCAGAGCTTGTTGATTTCGCTGGTCTCACTAGCCAGCTTGTTCTTGGGATCATCTATCTCTATCTTCTTAGGCTGGAATTCCGTTCAGCATTTTGGTGGGTAAATGCTGACCTAGTTTTCACAGTTGCATGGTTGAATACTCTAACCATGAAACCATCACCCCAACCTGAATATACACATTAGATAATAGCTACAAGCTAATTGCATGCAGAGATTCCAGTACTCTGGAGGCAAGCGGCAGAGGGATCTTTGTGAGTTTGAGGCCAGCCTTGTCTACATGATGAGTTCCAGGACAGCCAAAGTTACACAGAGAGATGTAATGCCCTGCATGAACCCCCAAGGCACCTTGAGCAAGCCTGAAGCTGTTGGCCAGAACTTCTTGCCCCAGAGCTGTTATTGGCACTCTTCCTGTTTTACTAACACGATCTGGTGGGGAGGAGCTACACCTGTTATTTTCCACTGTGCTGTAAGTCAGTATATAAGCCCATTCTATCCCCTCAATAAAGGGCATTCGACATTGCCATTGACTTGTCTTGTCTCTTATTTCAATCTCTAGGCCTTAGTTCTCAGTTCATTACAGAGGGATCCTGTCTCAAAAAAAAACAAAACACCAAAAGGGAAAAAAAGTTACTTAATGCCTGCTGCCCATGGAGGTCAGAATAGGACAATGGATCCCCTGGCACTGGAGTAAAATGGTTGTGAGCTATCATGTGGATACTGGGAGTCAAAGCTGGGTCGATACAAAAGCAAAGAGTGTTCTAAATCACTAAGCCATCTCCAGCTCCTTTATTTTATGTATATGGAGGTTTGTGTACATGCATGTCTGTGCACCACATGTCTGCAGTGCCTACAGAGACCAGAAGATCAAGTCCCTTGGAACTGTAATTACAGTTAAGTAGCCATGTGGGTGCTAAGAATTGAACCCAAGTCCTCTGAAAGAGCAGCCAGTGCTCTCAACAGTGGCCATCCCTACAGCCCTCATCTCTCCTCTTAAGCACTAGTTCTCAAGTTTGATGTCCTACAGAATGGACTGGTGGGGACCCTTCTGATACTCTTATTAACTTTCTGATTCAGAGGCCAGGAGCTGGGTGCTAAGAATCCACATTTAGAACAAGACAACAGGTGTTGCTGTAGGTTCTGGGAGGGGAGGACACCTTTGAGAAGCAGGGCTTTAGAAAAAATTCTTTAGTCTGCCACAGGGAGTTGTATTCAAAAGCAACCTGAGGCCTTCTAATGCCATTTTACACAATGCATCTCCATTTTTACAAAAATGGACTTCATTTTAAAACTGTAGGTTAAGTATATATAGGGTACTAGATTCCAGCTCCAGTAATACAAACCAAAGACCCCCACCCCCCCAGAAAAAAAAAAGCCCCAAACACCAAGATAAAGAAATTTCACAGGGGCTTATTGTAAAGAAAAACAAAAATCCAGCAGTGAGATATCATTACTATAGCAACACATACTAAACAGGAAAGTCAACCCCATCAACAGCTGCCAACACACAGGGCGTTTTCCCAGTTCAGAGTTTACAGATAGCTTTAAAGCACTGCTGCTTTAGAGTTTTATTCTTGTTCTATTTTGGTTCTGGGGATTAAACCCAGGGTCTCACAAATGCTAAAACATAGGCTACCATGATCAATATTTCCAGCCCTCATTCATTTATCTTTTGAGACAGGATCTTATTCTTCAGTCCAGGCTGGCTTGGGACTCATGATTTGCCTCCAAGTTCTGGGATTAGAGGCTGGCACTACCACATCTGTCTGGAGGGTTTGATGACTTTGCCTAATCTGCATTGCTGGCAGCAGAAATGGGGTAAACTTTGTTCTCCTTACCTCAAAGATTCCTTCTGCAGAAAGCTAAAGGGTTCTTATGAACAACACAGACACAGTGTACTAACATGAAAACAGGTCTTAGAATTAAGTAAACACACACAAAACAGAAATGTGGTTATGTTATGCTATTTTTTTGGATAGCAAAGGAAGAAATCCTAGTTACATTTGTCTTTGCTTAAAGTACAACATTCAGTGAGGCTGTAGAGATGACTCAGAGATTAAAAGGCACTGGCTGCAATTCATAGCATCTACCTGGTGGCTCAGAGCCATTTGTAACTCCAGTTCCAGGGATCTGACACCATCCTCTGCCTTTCATGAGTACTGTACATACATGATGTCCAGACACGTGCAGGCAAAAACATCCATATAAAAATTAATATATTTCAAAAGAAAAAAAATTATTTTGGGCTGGGCAGTGGTGGCACACATCTTTAATCCCAGCACTTGGGAGGCAGAGGCAGGCAATCTGTGTGAGTTAGAGACCAGTCTTGTCTACAAATCCAGTTCCAGTACAGGCTCCAAAGTTACAGAGAAACCCTGTCTCGAAAACCAAACTTCCCCCCCCCAAAAAAAAATCAAAGACCCAGAGACTGATATTGGGGTTCAAGCTGAAGAATAGGGAAGCAAAGCACCCAGCCACTAGGTCTCACCTCTACCTCAGAATGAAAGGGCTGATCGATGCACAAGCTCTTCACCATGTCTCAAACTGCTGCGTCTCCTCAGTGTGGCTGGAGAACAAATGCCTCATATTCCTCGTCCTGTCTGTTATACCCCTCTAGTGCTGGGATCAAAGGTGTGAGCTATAATTCTCTTTTAGATGGATTCACCCTTGTATAGATCTGGGTGGCCTTGGACTCACAGAGATCCATATACCTCTTAATCCTGAGTCCTAGGATTTAAGGTGTACCACCTCCAAGCTTTTGGTTGCTGGGATTAAAGATGTGTGCCTGGCTTTTATGGCTTGTGGCTGACTTTGCTTTCTGAATTTGCAGGCAAACTTTAATACGTCATAAATAATATATTACCACAAAAAATTATTTTGGGTGATGGGCTGTAGCTCAGTGATAGAGTGCTTACCTAGCATGTGATTCCTAGAAGGAAGGATAAAGGGAAGGAAGCAAAAGAAAACCAACAGAAAGCCCTCTAAAATGGAAAGATTCAAGTTTGTTCCTATTTCCCAGGTGCTGGGTATAACTCAGGTAAAGCACATGTACAGCACAGTAAGGCCCTAGGTTCAATCCACAGCACTAAAATCAATCAATCAATCAATCAATCAATCAATCAATCAATCAATCATCAAGCAAAACAGAGCTCTCTACTGCTCTCATTCAGCTGACACAGTGGCAGCTCTATGTTCCCTAGGAACACTCTAGATGCCTTCTTTCCCAGGGAAATAACCACAACAATGAAGCCAACATATAGTATACATTACACCACAAAAAAAAGTTTAGAAGTATACGAAAGTGCTTTCTAAGCTACCGACAGTATTTCTGTACAACAAAGCTGATAACATCATGAAGAACTTATGAAGATGCCACTCTGGCTCCAATTACCACAACTCAGCACCACTTTGTGGAACCATGACTCAACCAACACGCATTTCACTGAGTGCTATGGATGAAAGTGCTAGGTTAATCACCAAGATTTAACAGGAATTCTTTACACTCCCTCTAAGCAGCATGGCCCTTCTCCCCAGAGCTGCTGAGACCTGGACATTCATAAAGAAAGCAACTACAAACCTTCATCTTGAAGACTGGCTGGAATTCTTTCAAAGTAGATAACAATTTAATTTGAACTGAGGCCTTTTCAGCTTCTTCACCATCTGCAAAAACATCAAAGAGGGCATCCAAAGCCTCTCCTGTTACCACGAGGGAAGGGTCTTTGGTGGCAACTTCCAGCAGAAAGCACCCAATGGTCTACAAAAACAAACACAGGATAATGCAGATCAGTCTCCAAGATGAGCACTAACAACTCCTGCATTTCACTTCATCAAGAAATACCAGGAGAGAATGAAAACCTTTTAACATCTGAAGATGTCATACACAGCTATGAATACACCAAGTATAATATGATCAAGATAAGCTAAATATACTATAGTTTATATCACCAAATAAAGTGAGCTGAAGTCCAGACATGATATGAAAAACTTCTTCTGGAAATTACTAAATTTTTCTTTCTGCTTTCCTCAGAAGGTCTCATTTGTAACCAAAATCCCTACCACCCTTGATGCCAGCAATCAGGAGGCAGAAACAAGCAGGATTTTGTGAGTTCCAGGACAGCCAGAGCTACATAGTGACACCCTCTCTTGAAAAACAAAAACAAATCACAAAATTAAAATATGTGACACTCTTACTTTCCTCACTCTGTTTTTTGTTTGTTTGTGTTTTTGTTTTTTGTTTTTATGACATATGGATGGGACTTAGGCTAGCCTCAAATTCATCATTACAGTGGGGGATGACCTTGAACTTCTGATCCTCCTGCTTCTACCTCCCATTTGGTAGGACTATAGACATGTGCCACCAAGCCTGGGTCCTTTCTTTTCTCTCTATAATTAGCTTATGATGAGAACATCCCCAATCTGTAAAGGTTTCTTTCAGAATAAACTGATTACAGTCCAGTTGTGGTGTGGGGACAAGGGATGCAGTCTGTCATAATATGGGTTCCAAAGTCCAGCTGTAACACACTAGTCAGCTAACCTCTCTGGCTCTCATTTTTTCTTCTTCTTCTTCTTTTTTTTTTTTTGGTTTTTTGAGACAGGGTTTCTCAGTGGCTCTGGAAGCTGGAGGTTGTCCTGGAACTACCTCTTGTAGACCAGACTGGTCTCAAACTCACAGAGATCTGCCTTCTTCTGCCTCCCAAGTGCTGGGATTAAAGGCGCGCACCACCACTGCCTAGATCATTTTCTTCTTTTAATGTGAACAGTACAAGATAACCTCTATAATAGTATTAGGACTAATACCCTAGAATGTACTATAAAGCATACGCCACTAAGTAAGAAGTCTTATTAAAAAAGGATGGACCATGGGGTAGGGGAGGGACAGTTGAGAGAGGAAGGTGGGAAGAATGATCAAGAATCATTATACTCATGAACACAATTCCCAAAGAATTAAAAAAGAAAAGAATCTGGGCTTGGAAGTCAACTTCTAGTTTGTAAGAAATACTATGGATTAGGACTAGCAAGACAAGGAAGCAACAGATATAGTATATGCAACCGTTCTAGGAGGTGCAGAAGCTAGTGCTAGTGTCAAGAGAGACAAAGAACCCAATGAAACATAAGTTAGGGCTTTACTTGCAAAAACAAACTATAAGGATGATCTTGTAGAAAACTGGAAAATGATAAATACAGAAGAGGTACTGGACTTTTAATTGTAAAATGCACAATAATGGCAGTTATATAAGTTCATATTTGTAACAGGTACATAATGAACCAACAGGGGCAAATATCATGATGCCTTTTACTTATTTTAATATACTCAGCAAAGAAACTGTATGACACAGTATGATAGAATGGTAATTTAAATCTGCTTATGAGTATAACAAAATCCATTATACTTTTATTTAGTCTAAATAAAAAATACTTTGTCAGGCAATGGTGGTGCACCCCTTTAATCACGAATCCAGAAGGCAGAGTCAGGAGGATTTCTAGAGGCCAGCCTGATTTACAAAGAAAGTTCTAGGACATCCAAGGCTACACAGAAATATTGTCTCAAAAAAATAAAAAAGCAACCAAACAAACAAAAACAAAACAAAAGCCAACAACCACAACAAAAATCAAGCTTTCAAACTTGAGTTCCATTAAAATGGTCTTTGGCAATCTGAACTATGAAGGAGTAGAAGTGATTACACATACAAATCCTCATCTGTACACAGAGATGCCATATAGCCAAATGCAATAATTTATGAGTGTCTTCATTAAAACACCCAGATCAAGCCAGCAAGGCAGTTCATCAGATACAGTACAGATAACAGTAAAGCAGAACACAAAGATGTACAACATCTATACTCACTGAACCTGAGTTCAATCCCTGAAACCCACAGAGAAAGGTTAGAACCAACTCCCAAAAGAGGGCCCTTGATCTACACACACACACACCCCATATAACATACACATATAACAATAGGAAATAAAATCAAACATGTAAAAGCTCCCGAAGCAGCACAGGATGAATCAGTAAATGGTGTCTACACCTCAGAGGCAAAGGGATAGGAAGCTTAGGTCGGAGGCAGCATGTCATTTTTACGCCACTGTGCTAATTTTCTACATGGTTGTGCTAAGAGTACATACTGTTTTCCCAACTTTTCAGTTTTAGTGCTTTTAAAAATTATGTACATGTGCTGCATGTGGGTTTGTGCTGTTATCTCTGTTGAGGCCAGAGATAACAGATCCCTTGGAACTGGAGTCACACAGCTGTGTTCTGTCTGATTTGGGTGCTGGAAGTTGAAACTGGGTCCTCTTAAGAGTGGGCAGTTCTCAGCAGGGCGGTGGTGGCACATGCTTTACTCCCAGAACTTGGGAAGTTTGAGGCCAGCCTGGTCTACAGAGCAAGTTCCAGGACGGTCAGAGATACAAACAGAGAAACCCGCTCTCAAAAAACAACGGAAAACAAAAAAAAGTGTGGGTAGTCCTCTTAACTTCGGAGTTATCCCCCAGCCCTCCAACATTGTTTTTAAAGTCATTATAAATAACTATAGGGTTTTAGTAGGTTAAGAAGAAGCAGTTTAGATTGGCTGGGTGTTGGTGGCACACATTTTTAGTCCCAGCACTTGGGAAGCAGAAGCAGATGGATCTCTGTGAGTTCGAGGCCAGCCTGGTCTACAAAGTAAATACTAGTATAGCCAGGACTATGTAGATAAACCTTGTCTTTAAACAAACAAACAAACAAACAAACAAACAAACAAATAAACAAACAAACAAACAAATGAAGAAGGACTCTATAATTTTATAAAAACTAGTTATCACAATGGCCAGTAATCACTACTTCAGTGGTTAGCATAAAAAAAGACAATTCACTACTGTCTGGGGAAAAACAAAAAACAACAAACAAACAAACAAACAAACAAAAAAACCAAAAAAGAAATCCTAGCATTTGTAGCAATGCGCAGGACCAGAAGAGATGTAGCTGTTTTTCTTGTGGCAGCATGGTAGCAGGAATGTGAGGCAGCTGGTTACACTGTGCCTGCAGAAGGAAGCAGAGAGGACACTGGAGCTCAGCTCCCTTCCCCCTTTCCTTTAGTCCAGGACCACAGCCTGCAGAATGGAGCTCTCCACATTCAGGGTGCACCTTCCCTCCTCAGTTAAAACCCTCTGGAAAAGCCCTCAGACATGCCCAGAGACATGCTACCTAGGTGGCTTGCAATCCCATAAAATTGACAATGAAGAGAAACCATCACAAAAAGCATCACAGTAAGTAAAGCAAGAACAGAACAACAGTGCTGTACGTTGTCACTCACAGCTCTGGAATAATGGTATGGGAAGGCACAAAGCAAAGGAATAAAAATAGCATAAGGAATGCATACAAAATAAACTTGACAGAAGGGATAATTCTAGTGTTCTATAGCACAGTCTGCTAACTACTGTCTGCAATAACTGACAATGTAGTTCTAGTAAGGAGAAGACTCTGAAGCTCCCACAACAGACAAGATAAGTATTGGAGGAGATGCAAACACTAATAACCTCGGCTGTGTACATTACACATGACTCAAATGTTTGTTATACCCCACAAATATTTACAAGAATTATGTATCAATTAATTTTTCAAATGTAGCTGGGTGGTAGTGGCATATGCCTTCAATCTCAGCACTTGGGAGATAGAGGTAGGTGAATCTCTGTGAGTTTGAAGCCAGCCTGGTCTACAGAACAAATTCCAGAACAGCCAAGGCTACACACAGAAACCCTATCTCAAAAAAAAAAAAAAAAACCAAAACAAACAAACAAAAATTCCACATATGACCTAATGCTGAAAACAAATTTATTTTTAAGAAAGCACATCTGGAGAAAAGTTAAATGAAAATAAGGCTCACCTTTTCAAATACTTTTGTTGTTGTTGTTTCTTTTTGAGACAGGGTTTCTGTGTATTGCTCTGTAGTCTGTCCTGGAACTAGCTCTGTAGACCAGGCTGGCCTTGAACTCACAGAGATCAGCCTGCCTCCACCTCCCGAATGTTGGCACTAAAGGTATGCGCCAATGCCCAACTATCAAATACTTATTTAACACATAGTTTTATTAAAGCCATAGGGCACACTCTATTAATAACTTCAATAATTTCTTTATACAATATATCTTACCATGAATTCCTCCCCATTTCTACTTATGAATATTTTATGTTAGAAACAATTTTTTACCTTTAGAGTTTCAAGTGTGCCATCTTCTTTGGCTAGGACGCTGCCAGTGATCCCTAAAATACTGACCACATTCACTCGAACCCCGATATTGCTACTATGAATGCCTGCTCTGCATAGTGTCATCAGCTGCTCAGGTGTCATACACTGTTGAAGAGAAAAGAAATATTTTCAGTTATTTATTTACTTATCTCATGTGTATATGAGTGTTCACGTGTGTGAGTGTTGTATAACAGTTTCCTGTGACTGTAATATTCTGTCCTGATGGGAAGCTCTTTAAACTGGGAGGCAAACACTCAAAATAACTTCAAAATAGAAGTACCTGAAACTAATCAAATTCACTAGGTCCCTCCCTGCCTGAGTTCTCAGATATAAGGGAGCCAGGGTGCAGAGAAGACACTCAGGCAAGCTGAACTGCAAAGACTCAGAGGAGAAATGCTGCAAAGATGACCCAGCTGCCTGGAAGGAACAGAAACCTGCCTGTTGCCTGGAAGATGTTTAGAAGAGTCACTTTGAAAGGACATTCCCCAAACTGCTGAGCTGCAGGCTATGCACCTTGCTCCAGGTGTTGGGGGTAGGCTTTGGTGATAGAGCTGTCTTCCACTCCTTTAAGTAACCCCTCACCCATTCCTGTAAGTATCACCAATAAGACTCACTGGTTCACCAAGTTGGACTTTGTAGCTAACTTTATTTTGGTCTGTGGTAAGATCCCTATTTGAGTTGAGTAGAAATGTGTGTCACATCTCCCCAGGAAAAGTTTTGTCACACAACAGTGGACATATGTATGTAGGTGTTTGTGTACACATGTACAATTTGTGGAGGTCCAAGGTTGATGTTGGGAGCCTTCCTTGATTACACTCTACCTTCTTCATTGAGGCAATCGCTCAGCTGAACCAGAACTTGCCAACACTCCAGGAATTCCATTTCCACCCTCAGAGCTCCAGAACAGGCACACCATCCACCCACACATTTATGTGGATTCCAAAGATCTTGTATGGTAAGCACTTTTAATCACTAAGCTATCGATATAGTCCTTTTGGGTTTTAAGGAGGAACATTAAAACTTGAGCATGGGACACTTTCTTTAGCAAAAAGCAATCAGAAACTTAAGAGTTTGGGGATAGAGGTATAGGTCACCAGTGGAGCACAAGTAAGGGGTGGGGAGGGGGGCGACTCCGACATAGGGTTCACAGCAGAGAATAATAGGAACCAACCTGAAGAAATACCTATTAACATGTATCAATTTTTGTATCAAAAAGAATAACTAGTCAGGTGGTGATGGCACATATCTTTAATATTAGCACTTGGGAGGTAGAGGCAGGCCCATCTCTGTTAGTTCAAGGCCAGCCTCACTTACAAACTGAGTTCTAAGGCTGGGGCAGCAGGATCAGTAGTTTAAAGCCAGTCTGAGCTACATAAGGAAATCCTATCTCAAAATAAATGTAAAGCTCTGAACACACAATGAGACTAAAAAGAAAGCATGAGTGAAGCCCTGAGTTCAGTCTCAGGAACAAACAGAAAACAAGAAGCAGGAAGGAAGAAAACGTTATAGGCTGCATTTAGAAATTACCAGGGTATATGTTCATTATGTGAGATAAAGGATCAGGGATACAAACTGTGCCAAAATTACTAAATGGCCAATGAGACAATGTCTTATTGCAGGAGAACCCTAGCTAACAGTACTGCACAAAGGTAAAGCCAGGTGTCCCCAGTGTGCAGCCTCAAAAGGATCAGAGCAGCTATGATCACCACTGGCTAAAATCTTGGAGTGAACACACTAAGACATTACCTGTGATTTAAAGTATGAAACACACACAGCAATATGAATTTTTCTTGCCAAAACAATTCTGAACCTGAATCTAATTAGATGTAGGAAATGGAGAGTATTAAAAAGTCATCCAATCAGACCACTGAGAACAAAGTAACTGATTCTTCCGTGAGGGAAAGCTGGGCATTGGTGGCGCATACCTTTAATTGCAACACTTGGGAAGCAGAGGCAGTTGGATCTCTGTGAATTTCAGGTCAGCCTGGTCTACAAAACTACACAGAGAAATCCTGTCTCAAAAAAAAAAAAAAAAAAAAAAAAAAAAAAAAAGTACAAGGAAGGGAAAAAGAAGTAAGGAAAACATTACAGATTAAGAGCCATGAGATATAAATATACAAAAACTGTATGGTATATAGAATCACGTATCTATAAAGCTGTTTAAAAAAGAAACAAAGGCTGGGCATTGGTAGTGTATTCCTTTAATCCCAGCACTTGGGAGGCTGAGGCAGGAGGATTTCTGTGAGTCGGAGACCAGGCTAGTCTACAGAGCTAGTTCTAGACCACAAAAAACAACAGAGACATTACTAAGGCAATCTGGAGAAAATGAACTACATATGAAATAGGAATTATCTGCTATATTTTGGATCTAGAGTGATGATATTGAGATTTTGGCTTTTAAAAACACAGCTTACTGGCCAGCCTGGTCAACAAGAGCTAGTTCCAGGACAGCCTCCAAAGCCTCAGAGAAACCCTGTCTCGAAAAAACAAAAAACCCACAACCACAGCTTACTGATAGACATAAGTAATCAGATCATTTATTGGTGAAATAGTATGATTTACCTAAAAATACTCAAAAATTTAAAATAAAGGGGAAACAAATGAAACAAGGAGGCAAGGTGGAGGCTATACTGGAGATGGGCTTTCAGCAACAGCTGGAATCCCCTTGACAAAAAGTAACAAGGATAAACATAAGGCACCTGCCATGAGAGGACTCAGGAAGACATAGATGAGAGTTCCTAGAAATAAATACATGAAGACCAACAACATGTAGCGAAAATGTTTATGATCTAAACATCAACTAAGAAGCATCATACAAAGGCAGCTGTGTGGTGCTGCAAGCTCAAAGGAGGTGGAAACACTTGTTTTTTGAGATAGGGTTTCTATGTAGTCCTGGCTGTCCTGGAAGTCACCTGTAGACCAGGCTGGCCTCGAACTCACATAGATCCTCCTGCCTCTGCTTCCTGAGTGCTGGGACTAGAGGTGTGCACCACTATATCAGGTTTTTCTTTTTTAAAAACACTTTTCTATTTCAAGCACTTCCCTTGCCTTTTCACAAAGCTCACCTATAACTCTAACAGTTTTTTTCTTTCTTTTTTTGTGGTAATGTGCTTGCAAAAGCACAGAATCTTTGCAAGTTTCACAGAAGACGTTTATAATATCTTACCTGTGGAATATTCTTGGCAGCCATTGCTTGCAAGAGGGCCCTCAAAGCACTACTTATGGCTTCTAGAAAATCAGCATGTTTAGCAAAATCTAAAATACACAAAAAAAAAAAATCCACAAGACACAAAGGTGAAGTCCAAGTTTTCTCTTTTCCAAGACAAACTATTTTTTATAGAAAAAGAAACAGGGTTAAAACAAAGTATATAAGTGTCAGCTTACACTCTTATTAACAAGAGCAACTTTTTTCAGATTTATTTTATTTTAGGTAGATGAATGTTTTGCTTTCCGGTATGTCTGTGAACCATTGAGTGCAATGCCCAGGAAGGCCAGGAGAGGGCATCAATTATACTAGAACTAGAATAAGAGGGTTATGTGTCCCCATGTAGACTCTAGGGACTGAACTGGGATCTTCTCCAAGAGTAATAACTGAGCCATCTCTCCAGCCCCCCAAAAAAGCATTCTTGGTATTTAAGCCAAACGTTTACCTAACAGTCTGTACAGTATCTGATAAGTCTGAAAGATGACTGCAGTAAGGACAGGCAGAGGTCCTGACTTAAGATGTAGGGCTTTCCCTAGACTAACACTTGGCCGAGGATAAACCTGAGCCAGTGGTTGTGGATTCTCATCTCACAGGTCTCTATTGTGATGCTGGCAGACCTGTGATGGAGTCCTCTCCTACACTCTTGACAATACAAGCTCATGGCTCAAAGTCTTCCTGCGTCTGTTCCATGAGTCAGCTTTGCTCTTTTCCTACTGTACATTCCTATGCATAACAAACAGAACAGCAATAACAACTGAGCTAGCATAGTCACAGGCAAGAACAAATGAGGGCCAACAGGTGAGTGATCTATTTGGTACACGTGAACAATAATTTGTAAAAATGCACAGCAAGTATGTTCAGTCCTACACCATCTTCTGACAACTCCTCATTTACATGCCATATGCAGAGTATGATTTCTTCTTCTTCTTCTTAAACATGGGTGTGACTTTTATCTTCTTCAACCACATCCATTACCAGTTAGGTCATAACAAACAATGTGACTTATAGCTGACTCACAGGTGTTTGCTTTTCCCTGAACTCCAACCTAGGAACCCAGGTATTGTTGTGAAGAGGCTCAGGTCGTGTATGCAGTGTTCCAGCGATCATGCTTTAATATAAGTGAACAAACACTCAAATGACCCTGGCTCACAATCTTTAAGTCCTTAAGAAGAGACACTATTCTAGTCAAGAGTTCACCTCAGCAATAGTGACACTGCCCAGATAATTCTGTTACATGTATGTGTGTACATAGGGAGCTCCTGTGGAGGATATTTCCTAGCATCCCTGCTGCATACCAGGAGCAACCACCGAGAAGTAACCATTGAAAATATCTTCAGCAATTGCCCCTAGTGGAGAATTACTGACTACAGACATTGTGGAATAGAGACAAATCACCTTCCCCATTCTGCCTGTGTTCCAGGCAAAGAGAGACAGGGTAGCATTGGTGCTCAGGCTCCTCCTGCCTCAGTCTCCTGAGAGGCAGAGACTGAAGCTATATCTAATCACATGCACCTTATTGCTTCAGCCATAAAGCTTGGGGTAGCAGCAGATGCCATGGTCTCCCTATAGTCCAGGATGGCCTCAAACTCTCAATTCTCCCGCTTCAGCCTTACAAATGCTGGGATTAAAAAAACTGTAATCCATACCAGTCCATAATTTTTAAAATTTTATTTATCATTACTATGTGTAAGTGCAGGTATATATGTGCTAAAACACATCCATGGAGGTCAAAGGACAACACTCAGAAATCTTTCCTTACTAGGATCCAGGAATCTAACTCAGGTTCTCAGGCTTGTATATGAAATGCTTTCTTTATATGTGGAATCATCTTATCAGCTCCCCACAAATTATAACCAAGGCTTATTTATATCATTTAGCTTTTCATTTTCAGATATTGTATGTACCAACAAAGGGAATTCCTCTAATTATCACAGGGTGACAGACAGTAAGTCAACCTCAGGATTAGACACACCTTGAACAAAATCCTACATGACATGTGATCTGTCTCATTCCATTGTGATCCCAGATCAAATGCTCTTTCTCTAGAGAGCACTTTTACATTTAACTTATCACCTTACACCATTCTGTCCTTATTTTTTCTTCACAGTTGAAATTAAATATGAGAGAATATAAGTTCCATGACTATTTGTTTACTTCAGTACCCCTAGGACCTAGGTGGTAAATGACAGTCAGAGGTCAAGAAGCACTTGCTAAACAATGGCCCCCATATCCTAAAGTCTGGTGTCCTATAGACACTCCAAAACTGATGCAAAGGTGCCCTTTAAAAGTTTCTTTAAAAGGCCTTTAAAAGTTTCCACACTGTATAATTCACATTTCATCTTGATTAAAGAAAATATTTGAGCTGGGTGCAGTGGTACATGCCTTTAATCCCAGAACTCAGGAGGCAGAAACAGATGGGTGTTCGAGGTCAGTCTAATCAACAGTTTGAAGACAGCCAGGGATGTTACACAGAGAAATTCTATCTTGAATAAAACAAACAAACAAAAAACAATTCCTGGCAGTTACTTAAATGGTTATTTCTGTCATTTAAGCTTGTCAGAAGATATGGTACTGTCACAGAAATTAAAGACAGAGACATGTAACCAGAGACTCAGTTCTTGGTATTACAGCATTCATGACTACATCCCCCTCCATCATCTCCAGAGAATCAATCTCTCTGGAAGCAGATGCTTAAATGGAACTAATGTATTAATGATACCTCTAAGAACTGGGTGGCATGGTACAAAGGAAGGAGGCTGTCCACTTCACGTTCTCTCCTAACTTTTGAATTTTGTTCTCCATACTATATATGGATTAAATTTATAAGAATAGGGTTGGGGGAGGTGCAGGAAACCTCCAAAACAATAAGAGCGACTGCCACTCTCTTGGTTGCCTGCCAGAACTCCATGGTGGACCTTATTGCTGAAGACACTACACACTGCACTCACAGAACTTTGGAAAAATTAACCTGGTGCTTACCTGGAAGCCTCTTCCCTGAAGGCTAGCTCTCATAGTGCTGAGGGTGCTTTGTAAGCTGCTGAGGGAGAAAAGTTATCAACAGCCCTAGCCAGCTGAAAAGTCTGAGAACCATAATGGCAGGGCCAGCAAGATATCCTCAAGAGGCTGGGTGCAGTGGTGCACGCCTTTAATGCCAGCACTCAGGAGGCAGCAGGCAGGCTGTGTGTTTATGTTCTTGTGTGATTGTAATAGGAATAATTATAAAAGGGGTCATGAATTCAAGAGAGGGTGCTGGGGGAAAACAGAAAGACATGGGGGTAGAAACAAAGCAGATTCAGTATTCATGTATGAAATCCTAAAAAAGAATGAAAGACCTACTCAAGTATCTTAATAAGGACCCGATACACATGACTCATTTTAACTGGCTTTACGTTAATTTTTTTTTTTTTTTTTTTTTTTCAAAGATAGGGTTTGTCTGTATATCCCTGGCTGCATTGGAACTCACTTTGTAGACCAGACTGACCTTGAACTCACTTAGATCTGCCTGTCTCTGCTTCCCAAGTTCTGGGATTAAAGGTGTAGGTCACCACCACCCAGACTGACATTAATTTTAAAATACATACATACACATAAACCTACTGACACCCCTTGACAGACACATGGCTGATAGTGTCTAGGAAAGGTTTCTGCAAGTTAAATATGATAACACTCCATCAATAGAGTTCAAGTCACTATCCTGCAAAGTTCTGCTATGGCTAAGTAGTAATGTCTTTCATTACTATTACTAATATATTTCGTTACTATGTCTTTCACAGTAATGTCTAAATATTTACCTGGCTGAGAAAAAAGAAGTTGTGACAGATGCTGTGCAAGTGTCTGAAGAGCTGGGGCTCCTCCAAGATGGTCCATATCCAGGAGAGACACAAGACTCTGGAGACACATAAGTGCTCTACACTGAATAGTGTTCAATCTGCAAAAAAAGTGAACAGTGTTGCTTCTGTAAACTAATGTACTGGAATTTTTACTACCATTGTTGTTGATTAAGGTGTAGCATCTTGCTTTATACCCCAGGTTAGCCTGGAGCTCACTATGACGTCATTGTTGGCTTTGACTCTATGACCCCCCTTGAATACAGGGATTAGAATTATGAGCCTCCATGTCTGACTCAGTGCCAATTTTTAATCTAAACTTCAGATTCTAATTAAGAGTACCTACAAGTTCAATGGGATCTGAGGCGGGCCACAAAGAATAATGTGATCTGTTAATCTGCCAAAGTACCTGAGTACTCAAGGGCTATGAGTGCACTTCATTATGAGTCATAAGTCTCTATTCAATCTTGGATAGCAAGCTCCTTACTTTTATTTTTTCGTTTTTATTTATAGTTTGCTGTTCCAGGGACTGATCCCATGGCACCATTCATACTACACAGGCACTCTACCCTGAACTATCACTCACTTTTGACTTTTAAAAAAATCTGAAGACAGGGTCTCAATAAGCTGCCCAGGCAGAGCCTGAACTTGATCATTGATCAGCCCTGGGCAGTTGAGATTACAAACCCCCACCCCAGGACTGGTTTCTTGCTTTTCCATAGGGGAGCCCCTTGGTATGTGTCCCTTGACATTGTGGGGATTGTGGAAATGGAACCACAGAGTATACTTTTTGTGTCTTATTCATTCTGTTCAACACAGTAAATTCTGCTGTGTTTGAGTGGTTCCAATTCAGATCCTTTTAACTGCTGAATGCAAATTTCTTACACATATGACCATGACAGACATCAAGACTGTTTCCAAGTTGGAACAACTATGACCCACAATGCTATGAGTATTCATTCTCACACTGGTATCCAAGCACACTGGGTACAAACTTCTCCAGGCTGGTCTTGGGAGAATTTTCTATTCAATATTACAACATTTCACATAATGACAAAATGATAAATGTTTCTGAAAACTGAAAGGTTCTTACTTCTTAATCAAAGGTTTCCAAGTAGGGTTCCTAGAACATATGTCAATGGCAATACTGTTTGGTGAAGCAGTTTTCTCAAAAACCTAGGTTTGAAAAGGAAACAGGAAAAAATAAAAGGGAGATTATCTTAAATAGGACTTTTGTTGTTTCCAAAATTACCATTGTCAGAACATGTGTGCATTTCTAGCTCTGTTAGTTCTGCTTTACATCCAAGTTACCAGCTCATGCTGTGCAAGTAAACAGCTCCCATCAGCCATTACCACACCCCAATCTGAGGCCAGGATAAAACTAGAGTACCTTCTTTGGGATGAGGCAGTTGGTAAGGGCAGTGTGAATCTCATGGGACAGGCACAATGGGGACAGCAGCTGCCCACTGCACTCATTGAAGGAGTTTTCCATAAAGGCTTCACTTTCATCACTACTAGAAAGTTCTTCCCATTCATCATCAGAGGGATCTGAGGAGAGAGCAAACCAGACACTACTGGATTATCAAAGAAACTCTGATGGAAGCTGCCTGTGGTGTGGGAGTGGGAGTAGGGTGGGAGTGAGGTGGGGGAATGTCTAGTGTAAATTGGGAGCAAACCTTCACTGCAGCACATGTTGACAATAACTTCCAGAGCAGTCTGCTGAGCTGTCAGCAACGCCATGGTCTCTCTCAGCTCCTTGTCAGTAGACTAAAGAAATAAATATAAATAATAAAAATCAGGTATCTTTTATATCAGTTTCCTTGATTCGTGTCCACTGGACAATTACTGCACTTGGAAAAGAGTATATGAGAGCTTGAGTAGGTCAACAACAACAAAAAAAAACTAAAAAGAATACAAATGAACACTGTGATTTCCACTTGGCACAGTGTAGCAAGTCTTTCTTACATGGGTTCATCTAGCACAGGCTGCACAGGAGAGAACAAACAGATAATCACCTTGAATCCTGACCTATGATTTAAGAAGTAACTCAGCTAGGGAGGCAGAGGCAGGCGGATTTCTGAGTTTGAGGCCAACCTGGTCTACAAAGTGAGTTCCAGGACAGCCAGGCTATTATACAGAGAAACCATGTCTCAAAAGTACAACAACAACAGAAAAAGGCTGGGCATGGTACACACCTTTAATCCCAGCACTTGGGAGGCAGCCACAAGTGAATCTTCTAGGAATTTCAGGTCAGCCTTGTCTACAAAGTGAATTCCAGGGCAGCCAGAGCTATGTAGAGACCCAGTTTACAAAAAAATCAAAATAACAACAAAAAAGATTGGGGGGAAAAAAAGGCTACTGAGATATCTCAGTGGTCAAGAGTGTTTACTATTCTTATAGAGGATCAAAGTTTGGTTCTTAGCATAGGTTAGGTAGCTCACAACTGCCTTTAACTCTAGCTCCAAGGGCAGCCAATGCTCTTTTCTGACCTTTATGGCATCCTAACCCATTTGCACAAACACACACAAACCTTAAAAAAAAAAAAAAAAAAAAAAAAAGACAATAATGGAGATATTTTCCTCTACAATCATAAATTTCACCAAATAATATTTCTTAAAATGAACAATATAAACTTATAAACCATAATTCTTAAAAATTGCCTGTAAAAGGTCAATCAGCCACATTAATGATATCCTATGGTGAGTGGCATAACCTTGAAAATAACACGTACTTTGTTGTTTACAAATTCAAACTGTTTTTGATGACTAAACAAAATTGCACTAAGTAGATCCACTATAATTGACCAAAAATTCCATTGATGTGAATATTTTAGATTATAGCCATTCTTTTATACCTCTAGGTTTTGTAATCATGGTGTTAATGAATTTCCATCTTTTTTCTTCCTTGTTAAAAACTTATTATCTTGTAGTGTCAAGGGGAGGAAGAGTTCAGATTCCAGGGCTCAACCTTCCTGTCTCAGCCTAAGTACCTGGGACACAGACACACCCCACTATAACCAACCAGCTAACCAAAACAAGACCAGAGATACCTGATACCTGGGGGAAAACCGCATCTGCTCTGCCCTTGTCAGTGTTCTATAAATAATATAACTCGTGTGTGTGTGTGTGTGTGTGTGTGTGTGTGTGTGTGTGTGTAATAATTACATTTAACTAAGAGGGTAAAGATGTAACTCAGTGGAAATGTGCTTGCCAAGAATGTGCAAAGTCCTAGGTCTGATCCTCAGTACTAAAAGTAATTAAGTAAACTAGCAAAACAAAATCCCTTCTTATCCAACATTGTATTACATATTGTTAAGAATTCAAAGATGGCCTGCCATATAGTTCAGTTGGTAGAATGTTTGCCTATTATGCATAAAATCTTGGGTATCATCTCCAACACTACACAAGCTGGGAATATTGGCATGCCTACAATCATTAAGAACACTTTGGAAGTGCAGACAGGAGAATCAAAAATTATAAGTTATCCTTTGGCTATACAGCAAATTTGAGACTGGCCTGGAATATACGAGGTCCTATATAAAGATAAAATGAAACCAACAAAAACCTAAAGATGACTGAAAGGTGTGGGGAGATATGAGTAAGTGGCTGTAAATAACATGGCATTTTATATGAACTTAACACCTAAGGATTTGAAACCTGAGGTGGAGCCTGACTTAGAGCCAATTCCCTGTGGATATATATAAGTATCTTATTTCCTCATACTAGGTCCAGAGTTAAGTGTATCTAAGCTGAGTGGTGGTGGTGCACACCTTTAGTCCCAACATTTGGGAGGCAGAGGCAGGCAGATCTTTGTGAGTTCCGGGACAGTTTCCAAAGCTATAGAGAAACCCTGTCTCAAAAAACAAACAAACAAATGTTTGTTTTCATTTAAATGGACTTGGTTATATAAAATAAAATAAAGTAAAAAAAAAAATCAATAAATCAATAAAGTAGTATTTTGAGAGAAAAAAAACAAACAAAATGTATGTATGTCTTATGATACATTACCATTTTCCTTTCCAGAATATTTGTGCTCATTTAAAAAGCAACTAATGAGCCAGGCATGGCACACACCTTTAATCCCAACACTCAGGAAGCAGAGGTGGATGGATTTTAGTAAGCTTGAGGTGAGCCTGGTCTACATATGGAGCTCCAGGACAGCCACAACTACAAAGTAACACTGTCTCAAACAAAAAATAAAATCCCACCAAAATTTAACCATAACTTTGACCTATGTTATCTAACAAAAATGAAGGATGGCTGATAGAATGCATTCTCTGTGTGTGTGTGTGTGTGTGTGTGTGTGTGTGTGTATGTGATGGGTTCAATTTCTAGATAACCCCCCCTCCCAAGTATGAATTCCTGAATTTATTTTCTGTAATTTTTCTAGTAACACTGTATAAAAAAACCATTTCTATTCAGGTTTGTGTGTGTGATCTTCAGCTAAGCTAAGAATAGACTGTCACGAAATAGATATGCTATGGATTCTCTCTACTTAAAACATACACCATGTCAGAAATTCTGAGATTCATTTCTCCTTTATGTAACTGCTGCTCAAAGCATCCCTTTTATTCTTACTGTTATCAAACTGACATAAAGAATCAGTACAGAGATGTTATGGCATCTGGGATTTGTGTCAAAGTAACCAGGAGCAGGAGAGGCAAATGAAGAGGTATAGATAAAATAAAACACCAGACTGAATAAATGATACTTCTGGCAGCTAAAGAGGGATACTATTCCTGCGTGTATTAAAAATGCTCTTTCCTTTACATATTTGTGTTATGTTCTCAAGTTTAATGATGCAACTGAAGGTTTTATTTTATTTTTTGGTTTTTGAAGACGGGTTTCTCTGTGTAACAGCCTGGGCTGTCCTGGAACTCACTCTGTAGACCAGGCTGGCCTTGAACTCACAGAGATCCACCTGCCTCTGTCTCCCGAGTGCTGGGATTAAAAGCATGCGACACCACCACCCAGTTGCAATTGAAGGTTTTAAATTCGCAGGACTCCAGAAGAATATATGAAGAGTGGGAAGGACCTCAGTTTACTGTGAGTTTGTGCTCCTTGCATGTGTGACTCTGATATCTAACACTCCACTTGCACCTAAATTCTGGTTAGCTAACTGGCTTGCACATTAACTAATGTGATGAGTTAAGACTTTAAAAGTAAATTTTGCTTTGAGGAAACACTATTTTATTAACTCAAAATTTTATTTCTCTTTTACTGTACCAGTATCAAACCTAGGACCTTAAACATAGCTATCATGTACTCTACTCTACCACTAACAATATCCCCAGCCACTCTGTGTGCATGTCATATCTAAACAATGAAGGCACATGGGTGTAAAAGTACACACACACACACACAGGTAAAACAGGCTTCCTCTATCATGCTTTGATATCATTGCCTTGAATCAGGGTGTACGGAGCAGAGAAAGCGCCGAGTGACTGAATGTGTGCTTTTGACACAGGCAAAGAACCTCAGAACCTCAGACATATGGAGAAGTGGCAAAGCCTTTCCTTCTGACCTATGTGTGGATGTTGACAGTGTGTAGAACATGTCCACCATAGCTTTCAGCCCCTGGATGTTTATGGCCTGAAGACTGTTCTGCTGCAGGGACTGATCCTACCAAAATTAGTTACTCTTGTCTCTTTATTTATCTGTATATAATAATCCCACCGCCTTATTCAGCTGTATGTAATAGTGCATAATACGTACATATGTAATAACTTCATCTCTCTGTTCAACTCTATATAATAAACATAATGAAATTTGGGGGTCCTGCAGTTTCTTTAGCTGAAGAGTCAAGACTATGGATCCCAGTTTTCTGTCTACTTATCTCCCTACTCCAATTAGGTCTGTTCCTGGAGCCATGCTGATTCTCACTGAATCATAAGCCTACTGTTTTGACTTGATTTGCTGGCTACTGAGCTCTGAGGATCCATCTGTGGATGCCCCTAATCCTGGGCTTATAAGCATATATAGCCATGCCTGGCTTTTTACATAAATTCTGGGTATTTGAGCTTAAGTTTTTATGCTTACAGAGCAAGCACTCTATCCACTGAGTCTTCTCCCCAGCCCACAGTCTCTCTATTTCAAATCTGTAATCCCAAGAGGGCAGTATGTTAAAATTAATCACCAATTATATTTTAAACAATGCCGTTTCTACCTCAATCCTGGTGTGTGTGTGTGTGTTGGGGGGGGGGAGGATCCTTCTCCCCTTATTCCTTTTAAGAGACTCCTGGAGGTAAAACTGCACACAAGAGTCACACATGAATTTCAGATCCTTCAGGGGTCTCTGATGAGCTATAAGAGCAGTTTTGGAAGCTAAGTCTCATCGTAGTCTAACACTCTAGAGGTAAAGACTCAAGAATCTGAAGCCAGCCTGGGCTACACAGGCAGACTATCTCAAAAAAACATCAACATCAGATGAGCAGATGGCGTAGAAAAGCAGTATGCCTGCCTGAATCCATCAGGGCAGCAGAGAATACCACACCTCCAGCTTAAAGCACCAACGCATCACATTCCCACTTTCTACTCATTGATAGGAAACCAACCACATTCCAGGTTTACCCTTCAACCATTCAGTTATATTCCAAGAAACACTACTAGGTTCCTCATAAATGCCTCCCTTTGGAAAAGGTGCATGCTTGTGATTCCCTCCACTGTTGCTGGTTTTCAATAATGCTAATACAAGCAAACTGAGACAAGGATTAAATATGAGGTTCCAATATGTGTGCTGTGTTGAAAGAGGAGGTGCTATGATTTTTAACGCATTTTCTGGTGTGTAAGCAATTTGAGGATAGAATTGCGTTCTCACTTAACACAATACTTTATTGTTCATATGCAACTGTTCTATATATTAAATTCCTCATTTCTTTAAAACACTAAGATTAAATTATGCAAGTAAGAGAGATGGCTCAGTGGTTAAAGGCTCTTGCTGCCAAACCTGATGATCTGAGTTCAATCCACATGGTAGAAAAGAAAACTGACTCCTACAAGTTGTCCTCTGACTTCCACAGGTTTTATGGCATGCACATGATTGCTCCCTACTAATAAAATGTAGTAATTTTTTAAAAACATAAAATTATGATTCATAAGTCATCAAGAATAAAAGAGTTGGGCATAGTGATGCACATGTGTAATTCCATCTAATGGGGAAGCTAAAACAAAGAAGCAAGCAAGCATAATATACAAGAAAATACTTTTGAGCTATATTCCATTTAAAGAATTCTAAGTAAATATAAACTAACAGAACTGTAAAATGTTGACTCAAGACAATTAAATTCAATTCCTTTAATATGTATCAAGATAAGCCACCCTTGGCACTATCCATGAGAGAGTATGAACTGTATTCTCCTTGCCTAGGCTTATCAACTTTCTTTTAACAGCCTCCTGCTCTTCTTGCCAACTTAGTGAGCTCTCTAAATATTATTATGTCTTCACAACTCTATCTCTTCACCATTTCACACAGCTTAGTTGGCCCTGTGTCATCTCCAACAGTTTTCTCCTTTGCTCTCCCATCTGGGATTAATCACACATACCAGTTTAAAGAAATGACAGAAATTTGGTCATAATTCTGTTCTTTGCATAGGACTCACAACCACAGGCTTAAGTTGTCTATATTCCTAAAATAAGAGGAATCCCTGAGCACAGGAAACATGACTGAAGAGCAGCATTGGAAATATGTGTCTTCCCAATTGCCTCTCACCTCCAGGAGGAAAACATTCTCCAGAAGCGTTCACTTTCTCAGCTGAAGTTATTGTGCACTGTGCACCCTCACGGCAATACCACACTAACATAAAGCACACTACACATTCTCCAGACTCTACTGCTCAGCCTGCAGACAGCGGGAAAATGGTTTGCCCTATTGCTCTGCTAAAGATAAACACTAAAGTAAATGATAAGAATTCAAGTGACAAACTGAACGGAGTAAGATCAGTGTGAAAACAGCCTGGGAGGCAATGGGTAACTGAAATGGATAGAGTCAGGAAGACAGGTTGGTTGTTCTAACTGAAAGTTCCCACACAGAAAGGTTTCCTTTTAGATAAGAGATTTTTGTACATTTCTAACATTATAATGAGAATCAACAGGAAAATATGACTTTCACTAAAAAATTGATTGTGGTATTTTTCTATAATGCTAGGACCTGTCAAAAGAAACAGATGTATTAACTCATGTTGAACGTCATACTGACTTACTGGAAGTAAATCGGAAATAAATGTTTTCCTTCTGAGTTTTTTTTTACGAGGAATTTCTTCCATTTCATCATCTTCAACTATATCATCACCATTAGTGTTTGCTAGTGTGTCCTCAGTCTCTGAAGCTGTTTTCAACCGCTGGGTTTCAGCCTCTTTCATCTGAATGACTGTGTCGGCAGCATTTACCTCCAGAGCTTCAGACAAGACCTTTAGTATGGCATTTATGATTTCTGCCTGACTCTTAGATGGAATAATGTCCTTTAGGTTCCATATTGTGCCTGGAAAAAATAAAGATAAAAAATGAAAAAGGAACTGCCTGTGGAATCTTAATTAAAACTGGGTTCTAATACTGACAGGGTAATACATAGACTGATTTTGGAATAGTAAAAGGAAATGCTAAATAGTGAAAATAAAGTATAACCAAATAGAACAACATAATATTATATAGTAGTGAGGGGAAAAGAATTTTCACAGGGCTGAGTCTTTAGGCTCTGGTGTAATTTCCAAACATCCAACCCAATTGCCTCTGTTCATCCTGTCTTGGTACACATCTTTCTCTGGTATAGTACAGTGACTACCCAGAAACATTGATCAAGTTTCTCTTAGAATGACAGGAGGCACCTTGTTTTCCCTCTATTTTCATCTAAGCCACTCTTCTTTGTAGCTTCTTATGTGTAGTTAACCCTCCAATATCTCATGCAGAAGACAGACTACAAGCTCTTGGCTTTTTCCTATCAAAATAAAATAGTACTTCCATGAAGAAGTCAGAATAATTTTTTAAAAGTGAGTGACAGGGAATAAGGATGTACCTTAGTTGGTAGAATGCTTGCCTAGCATGTACAAAGCCCTGGGTTCAACCCCTAGGACTGCAAAACCAGCGTTGGTGCTGTACAAAAGCAAACCTAGCATTCAGGAGATGGAGGCTCAAAAAACCAAAATCATACAAAAAACACCTCAACACACACACACACACACACACACACACACACACACACACACACCCTAGAATACTATTCAGGATGATAAAGAAGAAAATGAGCTGGACTATAGCTTGGTCAGTAGAGTACTTGCTTAACATGCACACAGCCCTGGGTTTGATCCCTAGCACTGCATGATATGGGTATAGTGGTACACACCCATATTCCTAGCACTCAAAGTATAGAAAGTTTGTGGTCACCAGACTATATAGTTTGAGGTCAACCTGGGCTACATCAGACCTTGTCTCACAAATTAAAAAGAAATAGAACTGATTATGTTTCACCATGTAAAAACCTTGGAGACCTTAGGCTATGTCCCCCTAAAAGGGACAACTATAAATGATTCTATTTGTGTAAAGTTAATTTTTACAGTAGTCATATCCACAGCAGAATGGTGGTGACCAGAAATGAAGAGGGGAAGCAGAGTTAGGAAAGGCTCTCATTTAGTGGATAAAGTCCCATTCTGCAAGATGAAGTGATCTGAAAATTCGGCTATGCAACATCATGCTTTTATTATAGCACGTGGGGCACATAAGTTCACGCAACCACACATACATGTAAAAAGAAAAGATAAGCAGGGTAGCGGTAGTGCACACCTTTAATCCTAGCATTCTGGAGGCAAACAGACCTCTAAGTTTGACGTCAGCTTGGTCTACAAATCAAATTTCAAAATAGCCAGGGCTACAAAGAAATGTATCTTGAAAAACAAAAACAAAACAAAACAAAAAAACCCAACCAAAAGAAATGATAATTTTTAAAAATAGAAACATGTATTATAAAAGGCTCCATAACTATGGGAAACCATGTCAGCTAAAGGTTTCTGTTAGCCAGGCATATTGGTGCCTGCCTTTAATCCCAGCACTCAGGAGGCAGAGGCAGGCAGATCTCTGTGAGTTGGAGGCCAGCCTGGTCTAAGGATAGCCAGGACTACACAGAGAAAACCCTCACCCCAAAAAAGGTCTCTGCTTTGATACTAAGTTTTTTCAGACCAGACAGAGCACTAAGCTGGCATTGTGAAATGAAAGAGGGCTGAATGTTGTCCCCCACTTCTATCCATTATAACTTACTTTATCATTTGACTGAACATTACCTGCTACCAGTGTCTTTAGCAGAATGTATTCCATAGAGGTGACAGGACAAAGCAAAGCAGACTCCAGCACACGAAGTGCTGTGCCATCAAAATACTTCAGGAGCTCTGGATTATCTTCAGTTACTGTCTGCAAGCAATATGCTATAAGATAAAGCAACAACTTTAGGATAATTCACACCAGTGTAACTCATACAAAAATGTACATTTTTATAATTTCTAGACACATCTGCTTCTTTAGATATATAGGCTTTACTTCAAGAATGGTATACACAAAGGAGGCTTTACAACCATCAGGGCTAGAAATCTCAATTTTGTCTTCTTTAAATTTCTTTCTTTCTTCCTTTTTTTTTAAGATTTATTTATTATGTATACAGTGTTCTGTCTGCATGTTTGTCTGCAGGCCAGAAGAGGGCACCAGATCTTGTTACAGATGTTATGATCCATCATGTGGGTGCTGAGAATTGAACTCAGGACCTCTGGAAGAGCAGTCAGTACTTTTAACCTCTGAGCCATCTCTCCAGCCCCCTTAAATTTCTAATTCTTTACAGAACTATACTCTCATAGACTATAACTTAAAAGGCTGTTAAATGTTGTAGCAATGTTGAATTATTATAAATATCTACAGTTTATCCTCACCTTATACACTTATCGTAGGCCAGTAGCATGAAGTTTATGACCAAGATATAGTCCATATACAACATGCTTAACAGCAGCACGTTCTTGTTGTCAAAAACAAACCTGAGGTCTTAGGTACTATGGTCACAATGGCCTTATACATTAGGGTTATTTAAGAAAACAAGTAGCTGAGCATGTTGGTGAGTGACTTTAGTACCAGTACTCTTTAATCCCACATTTTATGAGTTCCAAGGTCAGTCTGGTCTACATACTGCCAGAGTAGCCAGGGCTACATAGACCCTGTCTTAAGAAAATAAAACCAAAATAAAACAATATAAAACAAAAACAAGATAAGGGATTTACACATTTATGCTAGAAATTAATTGAAAGCATAAAAACAAGTGAGATCACATGAAAGGTTTTGACAGAAGAGACCTTTTAAGCACAAAAGGAAAATAAATCCAAATAATTTTCCTTTGAGATATTTATTCCATAAAAATCTAGATCTAGAAATTTCAAAGTAGATTGTGTCTATCCAAATGAATCTAAACACATGGTACTAGGGCTGGAGAGATGGCTTAGCAGTGAAAAGCACTCACTGCTCTTGCAAAGGACCTGGGTTTGGTTCGCTGCACCCATATGAAGGCTCACAACCTTTCACAACTCCAGTTTCAGGGGATCCAACTCTCTCTTCTGATGTCTAAGGGCACCAAGAATATGCATGGTACACATACACTCATACATACACATAAACTAAATAAATCTGAAGTAAAAAATAACACACACGGTACTGCTGAGATCTAATTTAGATCCCAAATGCATCTATGTCTATATATATGTATGTGTGTGTGTGTGTGTGTGTGTGTGTGTGTACATCATACAAGCATATCTAAATGTATTGTGTTACTAAGGGACTGATGCTAGTCACTTTAGCAAAAGATAAGATAAAGAGCTGGGTGATAGCTAGATGACAGAGGGCTTGCCTGGCATGAGTAAGGCTCCGGGTTGGATCCCCAGTACAGTATAGCAAACAACTACCTCAACATCTAAACAACAAAAACGAAAGATAAGCTATGAATGTTAATCATAAATACAACTTCAAAAAATTATTCTGAACAGGACAGAACCCTATAAATTCACTGTATTATGATACTTTACTTGTAAAATGTTTCTTTATAAAATCACCAATCTGCTAAATACAGGAAGAAAACACTATTATACATTTTAAAATATCTTTTAATTCACTGTGAAAAAGTACATTGAATAAACAGAATTGGAACCAGTGAGTGCTTCCCTTGAAAGTCTAATAAGCTGAATTCTATCTCCAGGGCCTACAGTAAAGGAGAGAACTGATTTTTCTTTTCTTTTTTTAATTTTATTTTATGTGCACTGGTGTGAGGGTGTCAAGATACAGATGGTTGAGAGCCGCCATGTGAGTACTGGGAAATTGAACCCAGGTCCTCTGGAAGAACAGCCAGTGTTCTGCTAGGCCTTCTCTCCACCCCCTTCTTTTTCTTTTTGAAGACAGGGTCTCACTATGTAGCTCTGGCTGTCCTGGACCTGGTTATGCAAATCTGCCAGTCTCTGTCTCCCAGATGCTGGGAGAGAGTGTGCACAGAATATAAGCCATAGTGCACATGATATGGAGGTGAGAACACAGATTACTGAAGCTGGTTCTCTCTTTCCACCATGTGGGTTCCTGAGACCAAACTCAAGCAGTCAGGCTTCTATAGCAAGCCCTTTACCCACTAAGTCATTTTGCTGGCCCAGTTTGTTTGGGTGTTTTGGGTTTGTTTCTTTGTTTGTTGTTTTCTTTTAAAAAGCTTTGTTTTTTCTTCTGGCTTTTTCAAGACAGGGTTTTATTGTGTAGTCCTGGCTATCCTGGAACTCTGCCGACCAGGCTGGCTTCTAACTCAGAGAGATCCACCTGCCTGTCTCCCAAGTACTGGAATTAAAGGCATGCACCACCACCACCTGCTTCATTTTTAATTAAAAAAATTTACATTTTTTAAAGATATCTTTTTAATTGTGTGTCTGTAGGTACATGCATATGAGTTCAGGTGCCTGTAGAGGCCTATAAAAGCTCTTAATTTGACTGAAGACAGAGGTTCAGTTCCCAGTACCCACATGTGATGACTCTGGAGCATCTGATGCTCTGTTCTGGCCTTCACATACTCTAAGACACACAGCATAAACACGCACGCACGCACGCACAAAAAACAAAAAAAAAGACAAAACAAACAAACAAACAAACAAACAAAAAAAACAAACTTTACTTAGAAAAAAAGAGTATTGGGCTAGAGAGATGGCTCAGAGGTTAAGAGCACTGACTGTCCTTCCAGAGGACCTAGGTTCAATTCCCAGCACCCAAATGGCAGCTCACAGATGTCTGTAATTCTGGTTTCAGGGGATCTGACACCTTCATAACAATGCAAATAAAATAAAGTTAAGGGACTCTGACCTAACTGAAAGTTCGATCACTTCTTTTAAAACTCTCCTGCCTCATTCCCGCCACACATAAAAAAACTGTTTTCTTTGTAAGTCAGAAAAAGTAAAAGCTAGATTCCAATTAACTTAGGCACAAAGGCCTGGGAATTATGGGTTTCTTTTTCTTAGTACATAGAGATGAAAACTTCAAGAATAAAGAAATTTTTGTTTGTATTTTCAGAGGGTTTCTCTGTGTAGCCCTGGCTATCCTAGAACTCACTCAGTAAACCAGAATAGCCTTCAACACAGAGATTCCCCATGCCTCCTGAATGTTGGGATTAAAGGTGTGTTTCTAAAAAGTAACACACTATACATAACCACATAACAGCCTTTCTCCCTTTCAGATCAAAACAATGCAGAATTAATTGACCAGGGTATACACCTTTGAACCCAGCACCCAGGAGTCAGATCTCTGAGCTTTAGAGGTTAGCCTGGTTTATACTGCAAGTTTCAGACCAGCCAGAGCTACATAGTGAGGCCCTATCTCAAACACAAAACAACAAAAAAAAACCTACTACAACAAGCCAAACTCTGCAGAATTATTAACTATAAGTATTAGTCACAGATTTAAAGAAATTCCATACAAGCAGAACTCCACTATACACATATAAATAGTAACAGTAAGACAGCAATCACTGCTGTATACCAGACATGCTGTCCTGAACAAGGCAACACACAGTAACAAATAAGTGCTTTCTTCACTTACCTGCGGAAACAGCCAGGTCAATACTGGTGGGGAACCTACATAAGTACTTTAATACACTCTCCAAACACCCTTCTTTGTTGAATATAGATACTGCTCTACTACTGCATTCACTAAATTGAAGGGGAAAAATAAGTTTTACTAGTCATATTTTAACATTAAGAAATCAACCACAGAAGTCTATGAAAAGAAAAAAATAATCACACTTAATAAAATCAATGATGAGGAGTCAAACACCCACCACTTGTATAAAGAAAAAAGTGGCCACTCTTATTCACTGCACATGACAACCATCTACCAGTGTTTCACTTCCACCTCAATGGGATCTTTCAGTTGATCTCTCTTTAGAGAAGCTTAGAGCTGGAGGAAACCTCAGGAATCATCTCCTCCAACTTCCCACTCCACAGATTTAGGAAGAGCCTGTGTACTATGGAGGTCCTGGCCCAGGGCCTCAGTTCCTTCTGCAGACTGCTGTTTTTCACATTATTATTGAGGTTACTCAATAATAATGAGCTCAAGGAAGGACAAAGGCCTCTATCACATAAAAAGCAACATTTTTAAATGAAAAAACAAAAACAAAAAACATATTTTATTCATTCTTAGACTGAAATTATAATTACATCAAGCAATGTTTTCAATCTCCTGAGAAATTACTCTAGTAATTAGTTTTAAAATCATAGAACTTTTTTTAACAAAAAGTTATCAATACTACTAATAAGCATACACACTAAAATCAGGGTAAAATGTAAACATATACACATAATATTCTAACAGAGCTAACAGGCGACTACATTATTAAACATGCTATCCATGAAAAAGTATTTTCTGTTAACTATCTAGTTATTTCAGTACTGAACTACAGCCAAGAAGGGCAAAGAATGTATCAGTAAAGAAATGTAAACTGGGAAACAAAAATTTAAGAACTATAATAACTAAAAGTGGATAACTGTACGTGGTAAAGAGTGGACTCACAGGCACTCAAGACAATACATTTACTTTGGAGATAAATATAGTAGGCTCTTTTCAAAGAAAATATTCTTAAAACTCCCAGTTCAAGCCACATGTGGTGGCTCACACCTTTAAGCCCAGGACAAGAGAAATAGGAACAAAGGAATCAGGAATTCAAGGTCATCTTAGCTACATAGCAAGTCCCAGGTTAACCTGGACTACACCTATCTCAAAAAAATAAAAATAAAAAGAGCTGGAAAGATGGCTCAGCACTTAAGAGTGCTGTTTTTGTAAAGACCTGATTTCAATTCTCAGTTCCATTATCAGGAAGCTCATAACCACCTCTAATTCCAGATCTCTAGACTCTGGGAGAGCATTGGCACTCAATACACACACACACAGGAGAGCATTGGCACTCAATACACACACACACACACACACACACACACACATATATATAAAACTAAAAATGGTAAGTTTTTTTTTTTTCAAATTCCACATAGTGAGATAAACTGCAGTGGTAGTACATGTGCTTAGTGCTCAGCAGGCATGAAGCCCAGGGTTCCAAACAACAAAATTATATTACATAAAGTAAAAGATTGATGGTGCACAGAAAAACATCCATCAGCTGCTCATGTATCATTTCTTTTAGCCAGTCTATAATTCCAATCAGCCAACATTACATAGTGAAGGGGGGGAGAGGGGGAAAGACCAAAAAAGGAAAAACTAAAAAGGGGGGGGGAAGCCATTTTCTCAAATCTTTTGCCAGTATTTCTGATGAGATGGAATATATCCACTAGTTTAAGTAGAAATTACAGGCAGACTCAGACTGGTACTTAGGTAACTAATTAAGGTCTAACTCAATCTTATATTCTAAGAAACACTGCTTTTAGGTCAATATTTTAATCACTCCCAATTGAAAATAAGGAAGTATATTTCTGTCATAATTATGGACATAAAATAAAAAACAGTGCTTCCAGGCTTTATTTCTAGGTACTGTCATTCCCAGCCAAGGTCCACTCTATTCGAACTAGTGCCAGCAACGTCAGTTCCTCTTGGGAATCTACTTCCTATTCAATCACTACCAGTACAATGGACAAAAGCATTAGCCAACATCTGTAGTCCTTTTTCATTCCAAACACCAAAGTAAGTGTACACTGGGTTGACTAAGAGGATGAATCTCAAGTCACCAGTTATTACCATCTACTAAGTATCAGTATCACAGTTACAGGAGGTTCCTATACCTTAACAGAAAGAACAGGAGGCTGAGCAGTGATACAATAGGAGGCCACTCTTACCAGACATTCCACAGCACGTTCACAGCCTCATTGGCTATGCTTTCAATAGAATTTCTGTTCTTATCGGTTTTCTCCTGTGGAGACATCTCATTTGAATCCAGTCCAGTGCTACACTGCAACCAAATGTCATAATTAGCAACTGGTTCAAAAGATTATTCAAGCAAAAAAGCTAATAATAGTAAAGAATTACAAAAGCAAAAACACCAGAAACTATAGTGGTTAACAAACATATCAAGTGGTAATAAGGACATTTCTCAAAATGATGCATCCCTTGGGATAGCTCAGTTAAAAGCATTCTGAGCCCAGTGCACATACTGGAGGCATGGGCAGGTGGATCTCTGAGTTCAAGGTCAACCTGGTCTACACAGTGAGTTCCAGGACAGCCAGAGCTACACAGAGAAACCCAATCTCAAAACAAACAAAGAGTATTCTATTTGTCCAGAGGAAGGGTGTATACCACCCTTGCAGGAGACCTGGGCTCATTTTCTGTATCAGTTGGCACACAACTACTTGTAACTCCAGCTCCCTGACACCTTCTCTGGCTTCTGAAGACACCTGTACACATAAGGCACTCACTCACTCAGACATAGACATATATACACAAATAAACAAAAATAAAAACTTTTTTAAAAATCCCTTTAGCAAAAAACTTAGACAAGAAATGTCCTTAAGGCATGGTATATGCAGAATCCAATTATTTTATATGACAGTACAAAATCAATACAAAGTATTTTCCCTAATATAAGACAGATGACAAAGAAATACAAGAGGAAGTGTATGTAAAACACCCCCTAAATACTATTCTGAATATTTTACATATATTAAGTAATTAATCCTCACAACAAACTTATGAGGCAGGTCAACTATTAACCTTCATCTCTCAATAGAAATAAGCAGGAAAAGAAGATACAAAGAAGCTGATGAAGATACAGCTGGGTATATGGTGGAGCTGGCCCTTCAGTTGCAGACACTCCTGTCTCAAAGCTTGTGCCCTTAACCTCTGTGCAGAACTGCCCCCAAGTACAATCCACAGCACTCTCTGAAACAGGTGTTGAGTCTTGGACTTCTTATGGGGAGGCTACACTCTGCATCAAAGGAGGTTCTATACATTCCTAACCTCTACCCACTGGGTGTCAGTAGCAGTGTCAAATGTCCCCATGGGGCAAAATCACCTCCAGCATAGAAATACTACTCTAAAGAGAACAGGACTAACGCCTCACATCAAAACTGGGTCTTTTATGCAGCATCAAGTGAAAATTGGCTGTATGCAGAAAAATGGAAGAAAGGCATGACAGGTTAGGAGCAACTACAAGAGTGCACCATCCTTAACCAATGAGTTACATCGTGTAACGTGAACGCCATTATGAGGGTGCACGAAGTGACTTAGTAGAACCCATTTTATATGGAGAGATATCTTACCCAGCCTAGACACAGGGGTGTGGGGGTGGAGAGGTGCCTTGGTCCTGCCTCAAGAAGATGATGGGACAGACACAGCAGACTTGCTAGGGGAGGCCTTACCCTCTCCATGGAGCAGATGGGTGGGGGGAGTAAAAGGGGGGGGGGGACTGAGATTAGAATGTAAAAAATCAATTTAAAAAATTAAAAAAAAAACTTGTCTCATAGGACTGCTGTGAAGATTGAATTAAATACATGTACAAGTGAGCGATAAAGAAATATGAAGCTTGTATTCTAAGTGTCTGCATAGTTTTAGAAACGGCTCTTCTAATTGTCATAAAGGTGGCAGGGACACAATAATAGAGATTGGTATTAGTGATGCCTGTGTACTGTCAGTTTCCAGGAGAAGAAGTGAAACTGCTACAGGATGGTTAAAGGGACACATAACCAATACACCAAAGTACTGAGGTGTGGGGGGATCTACCTAAACTTGTCTTCTAAAAGCTAGTCATCATTCAGGCTATGTTAAATACCACATACCTCTCTCAGTAGCGCCACCAGGGGTGTCATGATGTCCTTAGCCACCATGTCATCACAAACTTCAAAACCTCCACAAGCACTGAGATTTCTACACGAGAAATTTAAACGGGTTTTATTTTCAAGTCACACATCATAAAATACTACCAAGCTCCCAAATGTGTGTTTAACCACAGTTAAGATTTCTGAGAAAAAAACAGTGGCTTTTTCAAAAGGCAGACTCCAGCACTCTGACTTAGAATACATCCTTCAACTCAGCAGCCTCAGCGACTATAATCTCCACCTCTCAGCCACATTAACTTCTGTGCACTGTCAACCCTCTCTCTGCCTCGTCTCTGTCATAGCTGTTTCTCCCATAACGAAATCTCTCACCCGATTTTCCCATGCCTGGTTCTCTGCTCTTTTGGTCTCCGTTTATAAATGCCATCTAGAGGACCTCAGTTCAACTCCCCATCTCGTTTACCCAGCATTTCTCATTAACCCTGTTTTGACTTTTCGATAGTTTCCAGACACCTTCTCAATGGAGCTCTTGCAAAGGCAAGGACCTTGCCCATCTTGCTTAACATTCCGCATGCTGAAATAATATCGGCGTACTTGGAGCACAGACCGGAAGATTTCATCCAATCAGAGAGACCCTGTGTTATCAGGTTTCAGGGCAGGTGAAGCAAACCTGTGGGCCCCGGGGTGCTTTGGAAACTGGACTCACATCTCTATTCTCTGCGAACCTGAGATTATAGACCTTCCAGAAGTAGAGTACACATTGGGAAAGGTTGTGCCGTGTTTGCTCGTAGGGACACCGCCTCGGGCTCTCCCAGACTCACCTCAGAGCTCCGGCCGCCGTCTCCCGGACCGCCAGACTGGAGTCCAGCAGCAGCGGACCGAGCCGGCGCACAGCATCGCGGCGGGCCAAGTCTGGCAGCGCCGGCCGCTGCTGCACCAGTCGGGCCAGCCCCGCGCAGGCGCACTCGCGGACCTCCGCGCTCGGGTGCTGGAGCTGCGGGAATCAAGACGTCAGAGGGGGGCAGTGAGCACGCGCCGCAGCACCGCTCCCGCCGACGCCCTGCCGCAAGCCGCCCTAGTCCCACCAGGCCCTCGTCCAGAACCTTTTCTAGAAGTTCCGCCGCCGGCCCGTCGTCCTCTTCGTCTTCAGCCCCGTTCGCCGCAGCCGCCGCCTCGGCCTGACAGCTACCGGTAGGGGAGAACTGAGGTCGCTTGAAGCGCTTCGTCCGACTCTTACCCATGGCGACGCAGGCTGCGGTGAGAGACCGGGAGAGGAAGACAGAAGCAGGCGATGGGGTCGGCCGGGCCCGTGCCAACTCCCAGCCTCCGACGGCACTTGGCGTCTCTCCTCAGCTGGGCCGGGCTGACGGCCTGAGCACACGTGGAAAAGCTGCGCGCTTGCGCACGGCGCATAGGCAGCGAGGAGAGGGCGGGCGCAGGGAGTGCGCGTGCGTAAAGAGGCGTGGGCGGGGCCATCCCTGACAGGTGGTGGAGCCCTAGGCTTTCCTGGGAATGTTAACACACACATTCATCTCCACTGGAAGAATGCAAGGCTTCTAACTCAACTGTTCAAAAGACATGTTCTTTCTCAGTGTAACCTATCCACAAGAAGGGGCCTGTCTACCAAGAAAGATAACATTCCTTACTATGCCATATTTAGGAAATAATCACTTAAGTGAGGCTCCCGGATGGAAGTCCAAACCTCTCAACCTTGTAGGTGCATAGAACCCATGGAACCACCAAATGTTTATTTCCTTGATCTCTTATCTAGACACAAACTTCCTGGAATACCCATAGTCCAAAGTAGTCTTCACTTGTGTTATCATATGGCCTCTCCTTGTCTGTGACCTTTTCCAAATATCCTTCCATGGTTCTTATTATTATATTCATTGTCCTGCTCAAAAACTTTCAGTGGCTTCTTTTCTTCTGAAGATAGTTTTGGAAAACCTAGCTAGGCTTCCTCATCTCACTTCACTACTGTGTCTTGATCTTTAATGATGTTCTATGATGCTCTTTAGAGCTTAGGGTTTTAGGGTTTCACATAAGCCACTTTGCCCACCCCCACTTTTTTTTTTTTTTTTTTTTTCTGATACAGGGTTTCTCTGTGTAATCCTGGCTGTCCTAGACCAGGCTGGCTTCAGACTCAGAGAGATCCACCTGTCTTTGCCTCCAGAGTTCAGGGATCAAAGATATGTGACACCACACCATGGTAGTAATTACTTCTTTATGGGTACCTTTTCTGACTTCAGGCAGAAACAGGTCTCTCTTGAGACACACCCTGTTCCTTTGCTTCAAAACACAACGAGGAATTGTCACCTCTGTTTCTATATGTAGTTGCACAATTCTGTCTTTTCAGCTGGAAAATCACATCTTGTATGGACAAGATACCCATTCCCACACATTACTGTGAACCCAACAAGAACTTGGCACAAAATTGTCACCCAATTCATTAAATGAACAAAGAGACATAATCAAGAAAGATGAGGACATGCAGTCAAGATGGACTGTAATCAGAATTTAGATGAGATATAAATGTATTTCTACTTTTTTGTGGGCATGTGCACACTTAACTATGGGATGCTGAATAACTAGTTTGATGTCAGGCAAGATTAAATAGCAAGACCTTGTCTCAAACATCAGAACAAGAACTGTTACACAGAGAAACCCTGTCTCAAAAATAACACACACACACACATGAGAGGCAAAGATAGCTGAATTTCTGTGAGTTTGAGACCAGCTGGGTCTGTGTAGTGAGACTACAGAGTGAAGACCAATCCAAAATTAATAATAAAATAAATAATAAGCTTCATTTGTTGTTCTTGGGAGCAATTTCCCAGCCATCCATAGTTGACAGTTTTAGAATGAGCCCAGTGACTTAACCAAACTATTTTGTTGTGCTAGGGATTGAGCCTCTTTTATTGAAACAAGCTTGACATAAAAATGTTTGTCTGGCTCGGTGATGGTATTGCAGGCCTTTAATGCCAGCACTCAGGACGCAGAGGCAGATGTAGACCAGCCTGGTCTACAGAGTGAGTTCCAGGATAGGCTCCAAAGCTACACAAAGAAACCCTTTCTCAAGAAAAAAAAAAAAATATATATATATATATATATATATATACACATATATATATATATTTGTCATAAACTATTGATTTAACAAAATTTTTTGTTTGTTCTTCCAAGACACGGTTTCTCTGTATAGCCCTGGTTGTGCTGGATCTCACTCTGTAGACCAGGCTGGTCTTTAACTCACAGAATTCCATCCGCCTGCCTCTGCTCCTGGTGCTGGGATTAATGGCATTCACCACCAGCGTCCCACTTAACAAATTTTTTAAAGTGTCTGTGATATGTGTGGGAGTAAAGAGGACTACTTTGTGGAATTGGTTCTTCCCATCAACCTTTTTAAGAGTTCCAGGAATCACACTCAGGTTGCCAGGTTTACATGGCAATGCCTTTACTGAGACATCAGATCATTTTTTTTTTAAAGATTACCTATTTTCTCAGTTATCTGTTGCCCCTTCATAATTTTGTAATGTAGCATCCCTAAAAGAACTCTGAACTCTTTTGTTTTGTTTTGATTTTGGTTTTTGAGACAGGATTTCTCTGTGTTAACAGCTCTAGCTGCTTCCAGGCTGGCCTCAAACTCACAGAGATCTGCCTGCCTCTGAAGTATATCTTCTAAACACTGGTAGTCGTGAAATCCACATCAGATTTTTATTTCATGGCATTCTGTTTCGTGCTACTAGCACCTTCTCTATACACCAGGGAGCCTCCTCAGTCTTACAAATGTTTTCTTAGACTACTCAGGCCTGGGCAACTGAATAGCTTAGGTTTACACAATGTCCTAGCATTTATCATTTGATCATTACCTAGAGCATATTCTCAGATCTAGCTAAAAAGTTTTGTTGTTTTGTTACAGGTAGGGATGTATTTTGGAGAGATAGGCAATACCTAAAAAATGATCCATTTATCGGCCTGACCTATTATCCCCACTGTCCCCACTGTCCCAGCAGATAGACAGGTTAATAAGGGCCCACCATTTATTTTGTGTGCCCATCTCTCTGAATCGTCCCAAACTGTCAGCAAATGTGTGCACATGGAGGCTGGGGATGACCATTGGTATTAAGAGTGATTGCCTAGCAAATGCAAGGCCCTGGGTTCCAACACCACAGAGTTTCCATCCAAAAAGAGCACACAGTAAAGGTATGCCTGCATGCTGTCCCTACTAGCCTGGGAGCTCACGTCTGTATTAGCAGTGCAGCTGAAATAAATCTCTAGAGATCTGCTTTCCCTACCTGCTATTGCCTCCTGGCTCGTGTTGCCCTACATTAAGTAATTAGGTAATTATTGAAGAACTTCAGTGCCAGGAGTCAGCTAGGCAGTCCTCTGGTACGACTCACCAGTAAGACTTTATGATCAAGGAGAGGTTTCTCTATCTACAAAGTTTTTGAAATATCAAAGGAGTGTGAATGATTCTGAATATTTCAAAAGAATTACTTTCAAAAGGAAAGTTGAACGTTGAATGCCTTCAACAGATGTGGCTGGCAGGCAGGTGTGGTGATATGCAAACGCAGACAGCTCTGAAAAAGTTGCTGTTGGACAGTCTGCTGCCCATTCAATTCCACATCTCTTATTCGTCTTTCTGCTCATATAAAAGTGCTTGTTTGCTATGTTAGACACTGCCCGGGAAGCTAGAAATAGCAGCTATACCCTGGTCCTGATATGTCATTTACAGAGCATTGTAGCTCTAGACTGCCTTTAACTAAGTTACTGTTGCCAGTGGTGACATACTTTGAATCCCAGCACTCAGTGTTATGATAAAGCACATGGGGAAACTTGGTGGACTCCATGGCAGGCGAGGGTGACCCAGGAGAGGGCCAAACATGCCAGGCAGAGCTAGATTAGAAAGAGAAAGGGGAGAAGGAAAGAGAAAAGAGACACAGAGGGGACAGAAAATAAGAGGGAGGCAGGGAAAGTTCTATCTGCCCCAGGGAACAGCAGAAATGAGAGGGAAAGAGAAAGTGAAGAGAGCTTAAGTGGGCAGAGGTCTTGACAGGGGCAGGCCAGCATAATGCCTGAATCCTTACACTCAGGAGGCAGAGTCAGGCAATTTCTGAGTTCCAGGACAGCCAGGGCTACAGAGTAGGACCCTGCCTTGAAAACCTGGGGGTGGGAGGTGGGATAATTATTCTGAGGCTGGAAAGATAGTTCAGCACTCTCGCATAGGACACAGAATTCAATACCCACCATCTACATGATGGCTCACAACCATATGTAACTCCAGTCCCAGGGGACCTGACATATTCTTTTGGCCTCTTCAGGCAAAACACCCATTCACATAAATACCTAAAGAATTAAACACAATTATGGCTGCTTGCTTTGGAAACATAATAGCACATCCCTTTAATTATCCTAAATCAGAGACTTGGGACACTGAAGGATTGCCTGAGCCCAGGAATTCAGGATTGATTTAGGAAACAATGAGGACTGGTCTCAAAATGAACATCTACAGTAGAAAACAAGAGATACAAGAATGAACAGAAACAGAAAGGAGGAAAGCACAGACCTCTGGTACTTTAGCAGGATGCTTCTTCTGAGAGCCAGTGGGCTCCAAGCATATATATTCAGATATATGTGTATATATTCAGATAGATCTCTTCTAGAGGAGAAGAGCCAGATTCTTATCACACACCCAAATGAGTACTCCCCTGCCCCCAATACTCAGGGCCTTAAAATCTTCTTCAGCTTTACAATCTTGGAGAGAATTCCCAATCCAAGTCAGTAAGAGAAACACGACAAAACTTGCATTTCCTGAGTAAAAGCCAAGCATTGTTAGCCCATAATTAATAAGACACAGAGAAAGCTAATAGTTTAGAATAGTATCTGCAACTGTGTTTGGTCTACTGGACAATTACAATAAGATACAGAAGCTAGAGGTGGCTCAGCAGTTAAGAGCAGTAAGAGCACTGGCTGTCCTGGAAGACAGTCTGGCTCAATTTCCAGCTCCTAATATGGTGCCTCACAAACATCTGTAACTCCAGTTCCAGTGAACCTGATGCCCTTCTCTTACTTGCAGAGGCACCAGGCATTTAGGTGGTACACAGACATATAATGAAGGCAGAACACCCATATCATAAAAAAAAAAAGTAAAATTTCTAATTTGAAATTAGCTTGTATCTGATACATAGAATATGTTTACATTTTTTTCTATTTGCACACAATAAACCAAAGGAAAACTAATCACTAGTTATATATAAAGTATTTATTTTTATGCACATATTTACCTACAAAATTTACAGAAAATAAAACTACGCAGAACATATAGAATACCCTCTTAAAGAGTTCTTGAAAGCAGAGGGTTTTATTGCTGCAATTCAAAGAATGCAATTTTATATACAGGAAAGTCAAGATGAATACGTTAGTTAAATGGCAGCTTTATTCAATGTTTTTGTCCTATTATTCAAATTTAGTTTCATATTAGATGAAATTTAAAATATTGCTCATGAAATAATTTAACCTTTTCAAAATCTTCTAATAAACAGGTAAAAGGCACCTCTAGTACTTTAAGTATTTACAGCAATCCCATTGTTCATTTTCAGGGCTACTGTAGCACACGTGGCTGTTGCGCATACACAGTATGTCATCAACACTCTCCAGCAGTGAGAACTGCAGGCTCTGGTTTGTGGTGTGCTTCCTGTTATTGGTGATGGACTGGGCCCATCAGCTACACCAGGACAGTACTAGTCTAACACGTCTAACATGTCTACCACAGCATAAAATCCAGTCACCTAAAATAAGGGCTGTCAAATTCCCAGACAATACATAATTTAACTTGTACAATCAGAAGACTTTGGGGTGTTTTTTAAAATCCTTTTTAAAAAAAGTAATTTAGTGTTAAATGAAAACAATTTACTGAAAAATATAACAATAGTTGCCAGAATCCAGTACGGGGCTTAACAAAAATTGTCGAAACATGTATAAATTTTCAACATAATGGAAAAGAGATTTTCTCAGTCTAAGTGGAATCTGATGCTTTTCCTGCAGCACAATGGAAAGAGGCGTTGAGAATGAAAGGCACACATAGTAGCCAGTTTTTAAGGAGCTGTGGAGATGCCAAGCAGATGGTTCCTGAAATACTGGTGCAGGAGAACAAAGTCCAAACATTTTCCTCTTGGTTTAACATTGGCATTGATTTGCTATTTACAGTAGTTTGCAAAAATACATTATAAAAACTGAATGAGGTTTGGTTTCTAAGTTTAACTTAGTAACATACACACATACTTCATCTGCAAAATTCTTTGCATGAGCTGAAGTACTAAAGTGACACTAATACTGAACACAGGTAATCAAAGGTACTGAAGCACTGAGAGCTCAGTCATCATCATCGAGATAATCTGGGCAAATATTGCACGCTTCTTGTCAGTTGTTGCTAAACCGTCACATATCCAACTCCAAAAGGAATCCTTTCTGGCGTTTTTGCTGTATGACTTATTAGAAGACAGACTGGTTTAGGTCCCCTAACAACAGTGCAGATTGTCATTGAACGTGAGGTCTAGGTTTCAAAATTAGCTTTCCTGTCTATAAAAAAGAAAAACAAAACAAGTCAATTCACAGTTAAAACACCAGCAGTTACTAACAAACTTTAAAGGCATTGGAAGATCATGGTTTACCAGGTAAAGGCACTTGCTGCCAAGCTTAATAACCTGAGTTCAGCCCCCAGAACCAATACAGTAGAAGGCAGAGAGCTACCTCAAGTCTTTCTCTTTCCCATGGTGTGCATCCTTGGTGCCAATGTGTGCACACAAAAATGTAAAAATTTTCTTGTAAAGGGTATTTGATGGAGCCAGTGAGATGGCTCATTGTGTACAAGCTCCTGCTAACAGGTCTGACTTCAGTTCAGTCCCCAGGACCTAATGTAGAAGGACACAAATGATTCCTGTGAGTCCTCTCTGATCTCCCCCTGCCACTCAAGTGCTGGGATTAAGGCGTACATCACCACACCCAGCAACATGCACTTTTGTCCTGATTTTTTGTTAAGTGTCTAATGTTTTATGGTGGCATTGTTCAGTTAGGTTGCCACAAGTTATATGAAGCTGAGTACTTGAAATGAAAATAGTTTAAATTGAGATGTTCTATTAGACACAGGCAATGTCCTAGAAAATACCCAAAGGGGGACAGTTTAAAAAGAAAAAAATACACTGGACAGAGGTTGGAACTTTTTTTTTTGGGGGGGGGCAAATATTGTGAGGTGGCAGCAGTGGCACACATCTTTGATCCCAGTACTCAGGAGGCAGAAGCAGATAGATCTCTACAAGTTTGAGGCCATTCTGGTCTACAGAGTTCCAGGACAGCCAAGGCTACCTACAGAAATCCTGTCACAAAAAAAAGAAAGAAAAGAAAAAGAAACTGCAACTTTTAACAGATTTGATGATGTATTTTTGTTGTTAGTGTTTTTTTTTTTTGTTTGTTTGTTTTGGTTTGGTTTGGTTTTTCTAGACAGGGTTTCTCTGTATTGCTTTGGAGCCTGTCCTGGAACTTATTCTGTAGACCAGGCTGGCCTTGAATTCACAGAGATCCACCTGCCTCTGCCTCCCAAGTGCGGGGACTAAAGATGTGCGCCACCAATGCCCGGCTTGTTTGTTATTTGAGACAGGGTTTCACTATATAACAGCCTTAGCTGACCTGGAAGTCACTATGGAGACTAGATCAGATTTGAACTCAAGACAGATCCACTTGGCTTTGTCTTCCAAGTGTTGAGATTTGTTTTTTATTAAGCTAAATTTATTAATAATACATAACATTATTTGGAAAAATGCTTCTTTCCACATAAAGTTTTCATTTTCTTAAGTTAAAAAGTAAACTATGGGGCTAAAGAGATGGCTCAGCAGTTAAGAGTCAACAAGGTGGACAAGCACGGTGGTGCATACCTTTAATCCCTGCACTTGGGAGGAAGAAGCAGGTGGATCTCAGTGAGTTTGAGGACAACCAGAATTGTTACACAGAGAAACCCTGCCTTGAAAGACCAAAACCAAACACAAACAAAAAAACCCCAGCCAACGTGGTACATGGTGGCTCACAAACATCTATAACTCTAGTTCCAGGGGATCTGACATCCTTTTCTGGTCTCCACAGGCACCAAGTACAAATACATATATGCAAGCAAAATTCCTGTACACAAAAAGATAAATCTTAAAAAAAATAATAAAACAACAATCAGGAATGAATACTCATATACTGCTGGTGGTCAGAATATTCTAAGAAATGTTTTTGTAGAGTGGAGCCAGGTATGTAAAAAAAAAAATAAGTTATAACAGCAATAAAGTATATACCATAAAATCCAAACTTTTCTTTCTAGGGGTTTATCTGAAGGAATCTAGATTCAGGTTGAAGGTTTTACACAGATGTGTTACTTTACGAACACATCTACTCAGTATTATTTGGGTGCCTTCTATATGCCAGGTACCATGTGACATGTTAAATATTTAATAATAAACCACACAAAGCAGCTTCTACCACAGTGCATTTAATTCCAGTGGGAAACAGAGAAAACATACAGTATGAAAGATGGGAAAACAACCGTATGTCAAATGGGAGGTTAAATTATAATGCAACCAATATACAATTAGACGTAACAGAAGATCTCTGTGAGTTTGAGGTCAGCCTGGTCTACAGAGCAAATTCCAGGACAGACACCAAAGCTACATACAGAAACTCTGTTTCAAAAAACAAAAGGAAATTTAAATAAAATATACAAGTGTAAAACATGATATTTTGTTGGTGACAATTTAGACAGTTTTGATTTTTATTTTTCTTCAGATCAAAAATGTCACCTAGATTCTGGTTACTTTTTCAACTTTCACTTAAGGTCACTTAATTTTTGTTAACTTCTTGATACCTTAGAATGCATCTCTTATGTGTGTGTGGTTATGCATTCATGGTATGTGTGCACATGTGGAACTTCTTCAAAGTTCAGAGGACACCAGCAGGTACTCTGCTGCATTACTCTCCACTTTACTCTCCCTAAACCTGGAGCAAGCAGCCCCAGCAATTCTCCAGTCTACCCACTACATTGCTAGGTAACAGCTAGTTTTGTGGCCATCCCTGGCTTTTTAGCATATTTTTCATACTAGTTTTACACTATTTGTTTGAGGTTTAATTTTTTAAAAATCAGATTCATTTTACTTTATGTATGTGAATGTTTTGCCTGCATGAATGTAGGTGGACCATGTGAATACTTGGTACCCTCACAAGACTCATCTGCCTCTGCCTCCGGGGACAAAAAGTATATACCATACCTGGGTTAAAGGGTTTTTTGTGAAGGTTTCTCTGTGTAATAGCCCCAGATGTCCTGGAACTAGCTCTGTAGACCAGTTAAGTTTTGTTTTTTGAGACAAGGTTTTTCTATGTAGTTCTGGTAGTCCTGGAGCTCACTATGCAAACCAAGATGGCCCTGAACTCACACAGATCCTCCTGCTTCTGCCTCTTGAGTGATGGGATTGAGGTACAACATAATTTTGTCATTAATGAAGATCAAAATGAGATGGGCATGGTGGTGCACACCAGTGATACAAGTAATCAGGAGGCTGAGGTATGACAAATGCAGGTTTGAAACTAGCTTGGATGACTTAGTAAATTCTAGGCCAGCCTAGGCTACAAATCAAAACCCTGTCTCAAAATTAAAAATAATAATAAAAATAAAAAAGATTCAAACGTCAACCCTACCAATCATTTGGCACCACTGACTGTTGAAGTGAGAACCCACAAAAGTCTATAGACTGTAGCCCTGGCTGGTCTGGAACTTACTATGTAAACTAGGCTTATCTCTGCCTCCTGAGTGCTGGGGTTAAAGGCGTGTGCCAACAAGCCTGACAAAAGAATTCAGTTATAATTTTGTTTTGTTCAGATAAGGTATTGCTAGGGAGCCCAAGCTGGCTTTAACCCCTTTGCTGGTTTTTATTTACATTTTTTTTTTTTTTTTTAAAGAATAGAACAGTATTTTTATCTTCAGGCTAGCCTCAAATCTCAAATTTGTATATAACTAAGGAGAGCCTTGAACTTTGATCTTCCTGCTTCCATCTCCCAAGTGCTGGGATTACAGGTATATACCATCATGCCTGGTTTCATGTGGTGTTAGAGATCAAACATATGTTAAACAATCATTCTACCAACTGAGCTACACCCAGACCTTGGCTTCACACTCTTGATTCTCTTGCCTCAGTTCCCTAGTAGTGAGATTACAGCTATATGACATCATGCCTAATCCACATGACCCAAAGGTCTGTTTTCCTAAAACTAAACATATTGGTATTCTCTCAGCATTTGTCTTTTTGAAACAGGGTCTCACTATGATGATCAGGGTGGCCTTGAACTTTAAGCAATCCTCTTGCCTCCCAAAGGCAGAGATTATAGATGTCAACAATCATATCTGGCTACCGATATATTCTAATGAAAAAATACTTACATCATCACAAGACATATTGTATTCTGCTAGTATGGTTCGACATCGAGCAGCTATACTGAATCAATGTGGTCAAAGGAAAATTACCAATACAAAGCAAGCTCCTGTTATGATTTAGACATGGAATTGCCCCAAAGGCTCGTCGTGTGTTAAAGGCTTGGTCCCCAGCCATTGGCATGTTGAGATAACTGAATAATAAAAGGACAAACTTTATCAATAGAGAAATCCACTGATGCATTCATAGCTAAGAGGGTGGGTGGGACCTAGTCAGAGGTCACCAAGGAGGTGACTATGAAAGGCACTGTTTTGCTACTGACTCTTCATTCTCTGTTTCCTGCCACCATGAGGTAAGTGGGTTTGTTTTCCTTCTCGATCCTTGCTATAATGTGCTGCCTCACCACAGCCAAAACACAATGGAGCTAGCCAATTATGAACTGGACTGCTAAAACTCATGAGCCCAGACAAATCTTCTCAGGCATTTTGTCACTGGGATGGAACGTGATTAACACAGCTTCTAACAACCACTTAGATGACAGGGACGGGTCTTCAGCTTAGTTCAGAGAACACAATTCAACTCCAGGTAAAGGATACATTGATGGCGCGACTACTCTTTTGTGTATGCCAGCAAAGAACAAGCCTATTAGAGTTATACAGCTAATTGTGAAAAATGGATGATTCCACAATGATGTGAAGAAGGAAACCTGTAAGAGAAAAGTGTGAGATATAAAAAAAAACTTAGGCTCTACAAAGAAATGCGCAATGTTTTATCATCTAGACTCTAAGGATGTGAAGACTTCCAGTAATTCTAGTTCTCTTTATTGCTGTGCTGTAAAAATAACACATGTGCTTTATCTTCTTCATATGGCAAGATAACATAGCAGTATATGTCAAACACTAGACCATTTCAAATTCATTCCTATAACCAGAAAACCACCTCACCAAAAATCCTGAACTCTGTTCAGTGAATGAGATAAGGCCTTTAGTCAGTATCTCTCTCTCCTTCCTTTCTCCCCCTGTCCCCCACCCTCACCCCCAAAGACAGGGTTTCTCTGCTTAGCTCTGACTGTCCTGGAACTGACTAGATGGATCTCAAACTCAGAGATCTGCCTGCCTCTGCCTGAGTGCTGGGATTAAAGATTGCACCACCACCACCCATTGAGGCCTTTAGTCTCAATGGAAACAGATTAAAATTGATTTAATTTATCTCCCTGTTGAAAAGCTTCTTCAAGGATGGGGTGGTAGTGGTAGTGATACATACCTTTAATTTCAATACTCATGAGGAATAGGCAAATAGATCTCTGTGAGTTCAAGGACAGCCTTATCTACATAGGGAGTTCTAAAATAGCTTCATAGTGAGACTTTTGTCTCAAAAAAATTAAAACTAACCAACAAAAGCTACCTTAAGAGAGTTGGGCCAGACTAATCTTCATCTCCTGCCCCACCTCCACACATATGCTACCTTCCCTATAAGCTTAATTCTACAGCTCCTCCACCTCCTTTGCTTAAAATAAATAAATGAAGCTTATTTGAAATTTTTAGAAATGGCAATTTGAAACTACTTAAAAAATAATGAAATAAAAAATATGAAATTTTTAAAAAGTTGTTTTTGAAGCTACTAAGATTTTAGTGGCCACAGAGCACTGAAGCAGGGAAAACTGGGAATGGGGAGGCTTCATTCGGATCTGAGCATAATGAAATGAGTATAAAAAAGCTGAAAATACACAATTCTAAAAATATGTATGGACAAGAGTCCAGGATCCATGCTTGGAATATGAGAGGGCGCAAAAGGCTGAAGGTTTGGAAACAGAAACATAACAAAGTGAAAAGATAAACTAGAAAGAAAGTAAATGGACCGATAACTACATAGAAGAAACCCTAACGGAAGCACAGCAATGTCCCAAGAGATATCTCAGGGTTTCAGACAGAGAGCTAGGTACACATACACATTCAAGACAAAGAAATGTACTAGGTATATGATTCAATAAGGCCAAATGAAAGAAAAGGGTTTGAACAGCAGGAGGGAAATATTTCTGAGATGAGGTGATGCTGAAGACAAACTAATAATGTTCCAGAGGACTTAGACTTGGTACTTAAGTTATAGCCTAGAACTCACAGCAATCCCTGTGCTTCAGCCTCCCAAGTATGGGGAATATAGGCATAAGCCACCACATTCACCCCTGAAGAACAAACTTTTTACTATCTCTGAGGTTTACTGGCCAGCAAGATGGCTGGGTAAGTAAAGGTACTTGCCATCAGGCCTGATAACCCGAGTTCAATCCCCAGGACCAACATGATGGAAGAAGAGAGCCAATTCTCCCAAAGTAACTTCTGATCTCCACAACAGTGACACGCACACACACAAATATATGTAATTCAAGGAAATCTGAGGGCTTCTTGTTTGTTTTTAGAGACAGGGTTTCTCGGTGTATCCTTGGCTGTCTCAGAACTTGCTCTGTAAACCAGGCTGACCTCAAACTCAAAGAGAGTCTGGTGTGTGTCAACACATCTGGCTAAAATGGGTATGTGTCTATAGTTAGCACATACAGTAAGTACTTTGTATTCCATTTGTAATGTGTGTATAGCCTATGTGTGTTCACTTGTTTCTCTACTTATTTTTTAGGATAAGGACTCTCACTGAACCTGTAGCTCACTGATTTGGATGAACTGGCTGATCAGCAAGCCCTGAGATACTGTATCATCACCAACCCTGTCCTCCCCCCAACCACTATGGTTATAAACATGGACTGCCACATCTGGTTCTACATCACTGTCAGAGTTACAAACTCTAGTCCTCATACTTCCACAGCAAACACTTTACCCACTCAATTGTCTCTCAAGCCCTGATAGTTTATAGTTCAAAAAGTGTGTGTTAATTACTGTTGTTATTTAGCAACAATGTTTCATCATGCAACTCAGGCTGGCTTCTGTCACTCTAACCTCCTGGTTTAATCTTCCAGGATGCCAAGATTACAGGACTGCACTACCACCCTACCCTGTCTTTATATTTTCATTTTAATTAGGTCAGTTTTATTAGCCTCCTTCCCTCCATGGCAATAATCAATGGCATCTAAACAGTAGTTTCCTTCTTCTTTGAAGGGTTTGCAATATCCTTTCTCTCCCTGGCTTTTGTACTCGTACCTCCTGCTTCAGACACAATTTCTGGTTAGAACTCTCATCAGGCTTGAGGTTATTAAATACTGAAGTAAAAAGAGCCAACCCTAAGGCTAACATCTTCTCATCTAATTTAGAAAATTATATTAACTACAGAGTTTTGGGCCTATTTCCGATTACATTTAATTCTTCGTTTTATTAAGATCTCAACTAGCTGAAATCAGCTTATATTTTTCTCAATTAGAAGTAGACTCATTTCCCAAGATAGAACGTTTTTAATCTTCTTGCCAGCCTCCTTCTACCCTCCCCTATAGCTGGGTACCAAGTACAGCCTTCAGATCAGATTTTATAAATGAACTCACAGGAGAGTTTCCTGTCTGCCATAAAACACCTTCTATTAATATAAAACTCTAATACCAACCTACCCTACTTCCTGTCCTTTTCCATCACCACTCAGTGGAGAGTCTGAGAGGCTACATGCTAAATAACGCCCCCTGGCTGTCTGAATTGCTTACTAGATTGATGACAAAAGCCTTATTATTAGGCTTCCCCTTCTGAATAACTTAAAAAGTGGAACATAAATCTACAGATTAGTCTACTTAATTATAACTTTAAAAGGAAGAACCTAAGCTGGGCAGTGGTGGCACACACCTTTAATGCTAGCATTCTAAAGGCAGATGCAAGCTGATCTCTGTGAGACTGAGGCCAGTCTGGTCTACAAAGTGAGTTCCAGAACAGCCAGGTCTGCTATACAGAGAAACTCTGTCTTGAAAAAGCAAAAAACCCAAAACCAAAACCAAACCAAAGAAGATGAAGAAAGAAGAAGAAGGAAGAAGGAAAAAGGAGGAAGAAGAAGGAAGAAGAAGGAGAAGAAGAAAAGAGAAAGGACTGGAGAGATGGCTCAGCAGTTAACAGCACTGGCTACTCTTCCAGAGGTTCTGAGTTCAATTCCCAGCAATCACATGGTGCTCACAACCACCTGTAATGAGATCTGGAGCCTTCTTCTGGTGTACAGGTATGCATACAGACAGAACACTGTAAACATAGTAAAAACTTTTAAAAAGAAAGGAGAGTTTATATTTAAGATTTCTGAAAATTCCAAGTCTGAACTTTAGTTGGGGAGAGGTGATCACTGATAAGCCTGAGACTAGCCACCTGGGAGAGGTGGATCTGTGTAAGCTGTGGCTACCTTGGTCTATACAACAAGTTTCAGGACAGCTAGGGCTACTTAGTGAGACCCTGTCTTGAAGGGGGCAGGGGACAAAAACCAAAAGAAAGAAAAACCCAAGACTGCAGAATTTTCTAATAAAAAAGATTGAGCTTGAAATTACGGCACTAGGAGAAAGGTGGAAACTTCAGAAACATTCTATCAGCTTTCATCAAATAACCCTTCCAGAACTAGCATTATGAAATCCAATATTGCACTTAGTATAGTAAAGCTCCTGCACAGTGCCCAGTGGGAGATCTCTAGTGTTTCCTATATTAGACACCAGGCAAGAAACCTGGAAGGCCTAATGAGGAAAAAAAAGAGCTTTGCTAACCAAAGAGCTGGCAGGTGTTCTCTTCAATGACAATGAAAACACATGGAATTAACTGTGACTCCTAGGATCAATTATACTAGAGATCAATTTATAACTCAGTTCTGTCAGCTTTGCTGAGCTATGTGGCCTAGAAATCAGTGACTTGGTTTCCTTCCTGATTTTTAGCCACCTGATCTAATCTGTTTATCAGTTATATTTGTCTTTTCTTTTTCCTGGCATCTCAAATGCTTTATGGGATGCAGAAAGGTGTTGTTAATAAATAATTCAATGAATTACAATTTTTAAAAGTTGGTACTAAGCAGGGCAGTGGTGGTACACTCCTTTAGTCCCAGCTCTTGGGAGACAGAGGCAGTTGGATGTCTGTAAGTGAAAGGCCAGCCTGGTCTAAAGAGTGAGTTCCAAGACAGCCAAGATAACATAAAGAAATTGTCTCTGTCTCGAAAAATAAACAACCAACCAAAAATCTGGTACGGATGACACTAGATGAACAAAAGGAAAAGAATGTTTAAGTAGAAATAGAAAAATTCAAAAAAATTAATTAAATAGCAGTACAATTTTTAATATCTTTTCCCTTATAAAGATAATTAACCCATGCTGGGTAGTGGTGGCACATATCTATAATCCCAGCACTCAGGAAGCAGAGGCAAGCAGTCTCTTGAATTTGAGGCCAGCTTGGTCTGGTCTACAGAGTAAGTTCTAAGACAGCCAGGACTACACAAAGAAACTCTGTCTTGAAAAGCTCACACAAAAAAAGTAAGTAACCCACAACAGCCAGCCAGCTAGAGCTTTCCTTAAGCAAACTATTACCGAGCATGTTGTTAAGATAAGGGTTAACGTCATTAGTAGCAGGCACAGGCAGCTTGGCATCATATTTCATGATTAGCATTACTACATCCAGTATCTCATTTCATCTGCTAAAGATTTTAAAATGAAATTTCTACCTTTTGTGTCTCAGGATCTATTAGCCAGTTCCACGCACCAGTAGCTGTACAGACAGACACCACTATAAGAAGCACTGGTGAAAAATAAACAGAAAATTAGTAAGCAAACACACCCCTTATCCCTTTATGTCTTGATACCCCTCTGTCAGTGGCCAACAGACACAGCCTAGCACTTGATCAAACAGCAATGACAGTGCTCAAAAGTCTGACTTTCCATCTTAAGGGACTCTCCTCAACATTCTGAACCCTGGGAACGGAGGATGATAGCAACTTCCTCTTTCTTGGTTAGAATTCATGAAGAGTGAAGTCTAAAACTTAAAACCAAGAAGTCAGATGGCAAAACTTCTTTCTACATAAGACTCCATGCTACAGATCTTTGTGGTTTTGCAGATCCTGTAAACTTGAATTGGAAAAAGAAAATCTTCCTATATTCTAATATAAACACAAAGGCCCCTGTCTTAACTACACTGGTAGCCCTGTGAGTTCTGACTGAGGGGCTCTTCCATCAAGACCAATAAAGGTCAGTGTTGGAGTTATGTGGAGTGTGAAGTCACTGTGGAACAGACCAATCAGTACTAGTTTTTAAAAGGGACTAAAAGAAAGACTTAGAGAAATTTCTACAGCTAGTACAACTTAATACTTGTTAAGCTATGTATATGTATGTATGCACATGTATGTGCCATGGTACATTCGTGGAAGTCAGAGGCACCTGTGGAAGCTGGTTCTCTCCCTACACCAAATGGCTGCTGGGGATTGAACTCAAGTCATCAGGTTTGGAGACAATCACTTTTAGCTGCTGAACCATTTGCTAGAACACTCCCCACACACTTTAAAATCTAAATAGATTATAAATCGAAGAATAGATGGTATTGATAAAAAAAAAAAAATGAAAGGAAACTGTGACAGTTAATGTTCTGGAAATAAAGACAGTTCTTTTATTTTAGTCACATTGGATAGATTTTCTTTAAATTTTATTTATTGATTTTTATTAATTTACCACATTGGATAGATTTACAAATAGGAAAACCAAATTTCAGAAAACAGAAACACAGTAACATTATAATCATCTGGAATTTCTACTGGTAGAGTTTAATAAAAAATAATTTTATGCAGCTGGATATGACAGCACTGGCTACTCTTTCGGAGGTCTTGAGTTCAATTCCCAGCAACCACATGATGGCTCACAAACCATCTATAATGAGATCTAGTGCCCTCTTCTGGCATGTACGCAAACATGCAGATAGAACACTATATACATATTTTAAAAAAAAAAAAAAATGTCCTGATCTGAGACATGGCTTAGAGGTTAAGAGCACTTCCAGAGGTCCTGAGTTCATTTCCCAGCAACCACATGGCAGCTCACAACATCTATAATGAGATCTGGTGCCCTCTTCTGGCCTGCAGGGATATATGCAGGCAAAACACTGTGTACATTATAAAAAAATAAGTCCTAACCCTTGACTTCAGTAGTGTTCTTTTGGTCCTGAAGCCTGAGTCAAACCCTGAAATAAGATGTCTTTGCAGGCCTGAGACAGCTCAGAAGATTAAAGAGCATGTGCTGCTCTTGCAGAAGACTGGAGTTTAGTTCTCAGTAATGGTGGCTTATAACTGTCCTTAACTCCAATTCTAGGAGGCCCAGCACCCTCTGCTGTCCTCCTTGGATACTAAGCATGCACACAGTGTACATACATACTTGCAGGCAAAATGCTCATACACATTAAGATAAATATAATAATTAAAAACCAGCAGTGGTGGTGTGCACCTGTAATTCCAGCACTTGGGAGGCAGAGGCAGGCGAATCTCAGTGAGTTGAGGGCCAGCCTAGTCTACAAAGCAAGTTCTAGGACAAAGTTGGCTGTTAAACAGAGAAACCCTGTCTAGAAAAAAAAAAACAAAATAATAATAATAAATAAAATAAAATAAATAAAGGACTGGGTTCAATTCCTAGCACTTAGGATGATCACTTGAGCATAGTAATTAGAGGTCAGCCTGAGCAAAACAAGGAAATCCCAAATCCAAAAGGTGAAAGTCTCTTCTGGATTAGGCTCCAAAGTACACCATTATGCTGTATTAAATATCAACTAAGGAGGTCATCAAGATGGCTCTTCTGATAACAGTGCTTACTCTCAAGCCTCATGACCTGAGTTTGATTCAGGACCCACATGGCGGATGGAGAGAACTGTCTCCCATAAGTTGTCCTCTGACTTCAACATGGGCTGTGGCATGTTAGGAAACCTGCATACATGTACACATGCCCACAATAAATATATGTAATACAATATTTTTTAAAAAATAAACTAACAAACTGGGTGTTGGTGGCACACACCTTTAGTCCCAGTACTTGGGAGGCAGAGACAGGTGGATCTCTGTGAGTTCGAGACCAGCCTGGTCTAGAAGAGCTAGTTCCAGGTCAGCCTCCAAAGCCACAGAGAAACCCTGTCTTGAAAAAACCCAAATAAATAAAATTGTCCTTTTAGAGTAGCCAGCTATAATTTTTTTCTTTAAAAAGTCATTTGTTACCTTGCCTGGTACAGTCTGAGGGATTGTAAATTGACATGGAAATTTAAAGCAGGTTCTTGTTGGTGCACAGTACAAATTAGATATATATAGGCACAGCAGCTTTTTTGTTTTGGTTTTTTTTTTCCCATCTTCAGTTGTCTCTGATACAGCTTATATGAAGCTATGTTCTGTTAACCATTCTGTAATTGCAAAAAAAAAAAAAAAATTGCAGCTGTTTTGTTGACAGTTTGAATGCTTCAAAGTAAATAAAACTTTTTTAGTAAAAATCTATTGTATGTGTGCATGTGTACACATGGTATGTATAGGACAAATGCAGAGGTCAGAAAACTTTGTGGAGTCCATCCTCTCCTTCCCCATTTAAATGGCTTCTGAGGATAAACTAAGGTCTCAAGTCTACACTGCAAGAACCCAGCCATCTTGCTAGACCATAATTTTCTTTTCTTAAGCACTTCTTTGTAATACATTGTTGACAGTGTTAAGTAACACATTTAAAAGTTGTCTAAACACAGAAATCTTATAGCTGAGTAAAACAAGCCTTTCTTAGTCCAAATTATTAAATGAAAGCAAGTCATTCCAACTTAGGAATAAAGTTATCAGCTGTCCTTCATTTTCCCTTAGAAAGCAATTGGCAACTTACTTCTCCAGCGTCCAGTGGCAGGTTGCAGGCAATGAATATATTCAGTAAGTCTTCTTTCAAAAGCCTTGAGATCTAGGCAAAGAAGAGTTCAGTTCTCTACCTATGCTTTCCAGTTTGAACTTACAAAAATGAAATTTAGGTCGATAACTGCTACAGGTCTTACACATCAAATCACATGTATCGTTCATTGTTTGCTTACGATGGCAGTTTAAATAAACAAACAAACAAACAAAAAAGCCCATCACTTCTCTTTAATTCCAATTTCCGGAAACCAGTTGGTCTACTTTTAGAAGCTTGAAAATTAGTATGTGGAAGACCAGCCTGAGCCACAAGCTGGGGTTGTAAAAAAGTAAAAGGACCAAAATCTGGCTGAATTCTAATTCTGTGGAACCAATTCTGTCGAAACACTAAAAACCCATGAGGTATTCTTGACTTCAATTATCCGATTCAGGCTCTAGCTCTTATCATTAATTGTTGGTTATATAGTTCGGGCTTACTAGACTTCCGTAGACAGATAACGGGCTGTGCAAAGACACTCCCTCCCCTCCTCGGAATGGGCTACCGGTGATGGTGCGGGCAGCAGCAGGGCACCTACGCCTTGTACTGTGACAGGGCGTACCTCTGAATGAAGTGGGGTGCTATTTCCACAGTGTTTTTTTTTTTTTTTTAAACTTTGGAAGGCCAAGAGCACTTCGAAACCCTGGCAGTTACCGGAAGCCAAGGAAGAAATTAGGGTTATGGCTCTTGAGAAAGAGAGTCCGGACTCCACAACACGTAAGGGCTCGTCAATGAGAGCGGCCCCAGCCCGAGCGGGGAGAACGCGGCACCCATCCGCGGCCGTGTGCCCGCATCCCCGTCACGCCGCCCTCGCGGGCCCATCTGCCCCGGGAGGGGGCGGGCGACACACTACCTTCCGCCTGTTCCAGCGAGTTCATGTCGGGCGGCAGCTCCAGTCACCGCCGCGGCCCGGTCCGCATCGCAGCCCACTGTCCCCGCCCGGCCGGCAGCGCCAACTCCCACCTCTAACCGCTCCCCGCAGCCCCTCCCCTTCGCACCGCCCATTTTCTAGAAACGCTGATTTTACTGGGTATCTTTGTCAGACCTCTTAACTAAAGTAGCTTTCTATTGGCTAATTTCAGCAAACGCCTTCGGGGACCTAGGGTCAGACGGTCAGCGGGAAGGGCCAAGAACAGCAGTCGGCCAAGCTGATATAGCCATGGCGCCACCTCCTGCCTCGGGGAGGAACTGCAGGCTGGCCAAATGTACTTCGCTTTTACACATTCACTTGGTTTCTCTTTTAGTTCTTTCATTGTCTAAACAGTGGTTGAGCGCCCACTACTTTCGGGTAAATATTCTGGTTGCTAAGGATAGATCAACAAGCTATCCTTGCCCTCGAGAAACTAAAATATGTTCAGTGTTAAGTAACTAGAAGCCCTCAAAATAGATTTCTTGATTAATGGTACCTCTTTCTTAGTTATCCAACTCCTTCAAGAAGGGTTTCTCTTTTAGTTATTTTCTTCTCGTGTCATCCGATATTCATAAGTAATAAAGAATGCATGGTACGAGCCTCAGTAACTATAACAAAAATATGTACAGGGTTGGCAAGATGGATATTTGATTATAATGTCCTGTTTACTTCCTGGTGGTCATTGATTCATTCAAGAAATATTTATTGTATGACACACTAAGCATTGTATTTATCCAAGATACAATTAAGGCCAAGGTAGATAAGATTGCATTCCTCACAGTGAAAGGTTGCAGGGAGCAATAAGTATGACAATAAGCAATTGATTTCAGATAAAAGTGGTTCTCCAGAGAAAGCAACAGATAATACAATGATGGGAAGTAAGCGGGTTTAGTGACCTTGCAAGGACATTTGAGTTAAGGGCTCCAAGAAGACAGAAAAGATGAGGGCTGAGCAGGTCTTGCAAAGCCGTATTTTCAAAATTGATACATTGTGTATTTTACTCAGCTTCAGGCTTCCTGCTATGTCATATGTCTGCTCCTGACTACTTATTTACAGACCCCTCTACTGCGGTGCTCTTTCTTGAGTTTTCCACTTACAGAGCCTTCTCTAACCAAACCTTTCTATGCATTATCTCATTGAAACTTTTAAGGTGATTTGTTTGGCTGGTTGGTTTTGTTTTATTTTTCCAGACAGGGTTTCTTTGTGTACTTTGGAACCTGTGCTGGAACTCCATTTGTAGAACAGCTGGCCAAGAACTCACAAAGATCCACCTGCCTCTGCCTCCAAGTAATGGGACTAAAGGTGTGTGCCACCACCACCGGCTGATTTGTTTGTTTTCGAGATCCAGTTTTTCTCTGTAGATTAAGATGGCCATGAACTTGCTGTGTATCCCAGATTGGCTTCATTCAAACTTTCGGTCCCTCCTACTTAAGTGCTGGGATTCCAAGTGTGGGTCGCCATGCCTGGCTTCCAAGTGTGATTTTTATGTAGATCAAACCTTTGAGAGAGTTATAAAATACACTTAGTAGACCATACCATTTTTGTTTTGTTGTTTTGTTTTGAGACATAGTCCCATTTGTCCTGGAACTCACTCTGTAGACCATGCTGGCATTGAACTCACAGAGATCTACCTGCCTCTGCTGGGATTAAAGGCATGCACCACTGTACCTGTAACCATTATTTTTTTTCCTTTCTTTTTTCTTTCTTTCTTTTTTTTTCTTTTTTTTTTTTTTGTTATTTAAATTTCAACAAGCTTGTTTTACATGTCAATCCCAGTTTCCCTCACCCTTCCCTCTTCCCCTGCTACCCCCAACCCCCATCTCATCCCCTTTCTGCTCCCCAGGGTGAATGAGGCCTTCCATGGGGGATCTGTCCAATCATTTGGAGCCTAGGTCGTCCCCTATGTTTCTAGACTGAGGGAGTATCCCTCTATATGGAATGGGCTCCCAAAGTCCATGCGTGTACTAGGGATAAATACTGTTCCACTACCAAAGGCCCCATAGATTGCCCAGGAAGTCCCATTTATTAATTGTTGATCTGAATGTCTGTACTACTGGTGTTTTTTTTTTTTTTTCAGGAAGCAGCCCCCTGTACCAATTCGTTCAAGGGGACCTCCAACTTTCTCTTCTAAGAGGTTCAGTGTGGCTGGATTTATGATGAGGTCTTTGATCCATTTGGACTTAAGTTTTGTGCATGGCCATAGATATTGGATCTATCTGCAGTCTTCTACACACCAGCATCCAGTTATGCCAGCACCATTTGTTAAAGATGCTTTCTTTTTTTCCATTGTATAATTTTAGCTTCTTTGTCAAAAAGCAGGTGTTCGTAGGTGTATGGGTTAATGCCAGGGTTTTCAGTTCGATTCCATTGGTCTACCTGTCTATATTTGCTGCAATACCAAGTGTTTTCAGGACTGTGGCTCTATAATAGAGCTTAAAGTCAGGGATAGTGATGCCTCCAGAAGTTCCTTTATTGTCCAGGGTTGTTTTGACTATCCTGGGTCTTTTGTTTTTCCATATAAAGTTAAGTATTGTTCTTTCAAGGTCTGTGAAGAAATGTGCTGGGCTTTGATGGGGATTGTATTGAATCTGTACATTGCTTTTAGCAAGATTGCCATTTTTACTATGTTGATTCTACCTATCAAAGAGCATGAAAGATCTTTCCATGTTCTGGTATCTTCCTTAATTTTTTTCTTTAAAGACTCAAAGTTCTTATTATATAGGTCTTTCACTTGTTTGGTTAGTGTTACCCCAAGATATTTTATGCTTTTTGTGGCTATTGTAAAGGGTGATGATTCTCTGATTTCTTTCTCAGCCCCTTTTATTGTCTATATATAGTAGGGCTACTGTTTTTTTTGTTTGTTTGTTTTTTTTGAGTTAATCTTGGATCCTTTCACTTTGCTGAAGGGGTTTATCATCTTTAGGAGTTCCCTGGTAGTTTTTTGGGTCACTTATGTAAACTATCATATCATCTGCAAAAAGTGAAAGTTTGACTTCCTTTCCAATTTGTATCCCCTTGATCTCTTTTTGTTGTCTTATTACTCTAGCTACAAGTACAATATTGAAGACATATGGAAAGAGTGGACAGCCTTGTGTTGTTCCTGATTTTAGAGGAATCACATTGAGTTTCTCTCCATTTAGTTTGATGTTGGCTGTTGGTTTGCTGTCTATTGCCTTTATTATGTTTAGGTATGTTCCTGTTATCCTTGATCTCTTCAAGACCTTAATCATGAAAGGATTTTGTCAAAGGCTTTTTCAGCATCTAGTGAGATGATCATCTGATTTTTCTTTTTCAGTATGTTTATATGGTGGATTACATTGATGGATTTTCCTATGTTGAACCATCTCTGCATCCCCAGAATGAAGCCTACTTGGTCATGGTGGATGATTTCTCTGATGTGTTCTTGGACTCAATTTGCCAATATTGTATTGAGTATGTTTGCATCGATATTCATGAAGGATATTGGTCTGTAGTTCTCTTTCTTAGTTGTGTCTTTGTGTGGATTGGGTACTAAGGTAATTGTAGCCTCATAAAGAGTTTGGCAATGACCCTTCTGCTTCTATTGTATGGAACAATTTGAGAGTATTGGTATTAGCTCTTCTTTGAGTTTCTGGTAGAATTCTGCACTGAAGCCATCTGGTCCTGGGTTTTTATTTTTTGTTTTTGTTTTTTTTAGTTGGGAGGCTTTTGATGACTTCTTCTATTTCATTAAGGGTTATAGGTCTATTTAAATTGCTTATCTGTTCTTGATAATGGCATTATAGATGGTTGTGAGCCACTACGAGGGGCCTAGGAACTGCACATAGGTCCTCTATAAAGTGTAGCAAGTGCCATTAACCACTATGCATCCCTCCCATCCAGGAAGAAGGGATCTTAGTGGGAGGGGTGAGGAGTAAGAGAGACTAACTTGATGGTGGTGATGGCCACTGCCCTTGATCCCAGCACTTGGAAGGCAGAGGCGGGGTCCTCTGTGAGCAAGTGCTCTTTATAGCTCTGCCATCAATTCAGCCCCTTGCCCTCTTTTCCTAACAGCAGTTTGCCTGACATTAAAAGATAACATTATCCAGTTCAGGACTCTCCAGTGCTGCTCCTAAAGTGATTGCAACAGCGCTCTTCATTCCGTTTCCTCGGTAGCTCTGCAGCAATGCTGACCAATTGCTTGTGTAAGCCTTGAGTGTGGGGTTACTTATTTGGTCACCAGAAACTAACCAGTGACTTGAAGAAACTGACTCTCCTGGGTAGTTGTGGCACAGACCTTTAATCCCTGCACTGAGGAGGGAGAGGCAGGTGGATCTCTGTGAGTTGGAGGCCAGCCGGTCTACAATGCTACACAGAGGAAACCTGTCTCAGAAAATCAAATCAAATCAAAACAAAACAAAAAACTGACTCTCCCCCAGCAAACATGAATGACCCATAGCCCCTCAGCTAGTGAGCATCACTGGCTCCTCCCCCATCCATGCTGGGAAGTCTGAAGACTTGATATAGGGCAGGTAACCATAGCCACCAGGAATTCATGAGTGTAATACCATGCCATGTGCAGAAAACAGCTTCATAACCTCTAGCTCTTATATTCTTTGTGCCTCCTCTTCTGTGATGTCCCCTGAGTTTGGTATGTGGGAAGATGTCCCCTTTAGTTCTGAGCACTCAATAGCCACTTATTCTCACAAGGTGGACCAGTGACCCTCTGCACTAACCACTGCCCAACTCGAATAGCGGCATTGCCATCTGAGAGCAGCTCTGGGGTTTACCCTTTTATGTTACTGTTCTTTTGTTTGTTTTTAGAGACAGGGTCTCTCTATGTAGCCTTGGCTGCCCTGGAACTCACTCTGTAGAAGAGGCTGGCCTCAAATGCAAAGATCCGCTTGCTTTTGCCACCCCAGTGCTGGGATTAGAGGTGTGTGTGTGTGTGAGCCAATACCATCCGTTTAACATTTTTTTGTTTTTATATTTATGATATGAAAATGGCTTTTCTCCTATATGAGATCTTGAATATGTATGAAGATGGAACTTTTCCCACACAATGAACATTGATACGGTTTTATTTCTTGGTGCATTGTTAAGTGCTTATTAAGATCATTAACATCTT